TGAAGGAATGCTTGTAGACTGCTCTACTGTAATGTAGATTAGCTTATCATAATTGATTATTCTAGTGTTGGATGAGATTAATCGCAGAATCATTGTCCTTAATAGAAATCTAACTTTATTCCGCTATTGCCAATATCAGAATATTTCATCCAAATTTTAAATATTATTCCCTGAAAGAATCCGCTTTTCTATTAATGCAAAGTAATTATCATTAATGATATCAGTAGTAATACTTGTTAACTGTAGTATAATGAATTGATATCATTTTTATCCAATTTCTATCTCGATATGCTCTTATTCAGAATAATGTAGTTCTAGTAGCTAATCTTGCAATATCTACAATTTCACATGATCTCTACGTGTACGTTAATCCCGGGAATAACCGATGTATTTATATTTATTTCTTTATTCATTCAGCTCATACGAGTATTTTCCGTCCTTAAAGTTAAATCAATAAATTTTAGAATGTAACTTGATCCCAGAGTTGACCCGTCGCCACTTTCTGGGAATGACAGATTCTCGGGAATTGCCGAAATTGACTGTTCTTTCTCAGGATCGATCTTAACAAGTTAAATCGAGATAAGGAGCCTTAAAAGTAATATCATCATCCTATATAGTTCAATTCTTAATCGCTTATAAAGATCGTTAAAACATATGTTGCAAGTATGGTATTATCTTGATTATTATAAATTTATGCTATAGTTACTATAGAGATTAGCGTACATGTAAGGTTTTAACCACGACATTATCGGGTTATTTTTTATTCGTATGGGCTATTTCAAATTCTTTGTGCTTTAATCACCACTTTTGCCGATGAATAATGTTACATCGAGTCATTTTTTAGAGTAAACCATGGACTACTATTTTTTTTTTTAGAAGTCTATAAATAAACCTAGGCTATAAATACGGCAATAGCCCAACATTAATTCATTCATTAAAGGAGTATAAGCTGTTAAATGATTTCATATTCCTTTAACCAAACCATTGTTATAACTGACTGCGGTATGTGCTTATTGCTACAGAGTCTATTCAATTTTGAAAGTAATATATATTTGTCTTAACTAGTACAGTTATATCATATTAGCAATTATCACTACAAACAAGTAGCAACAGCCATAGCAAATTAATTAAGGGAAATTATGATTTATTTTAAATTGATATTGATGCGTTCGGTCTTCCTATTCCTACCATGATAATATATGGCATTTTAGACTTAATAATCATGTAAACCCTGAGCTGTAAACTGTATTATTTAAAACGATTACAAAAATAGATTTGAGATTTGATAAGTTTTTAATGCTACAGCAATTTAAAACTTAGCATATTTATTAGAGACAAATTCGAAGATACTATATGTATTGTATATAGTATTATATATAGCGGTTTTAAATTAATCCCTGGAATAATATACGTTATTATAGCATCACCTCATTTTATCAATTATAAATAGCTAGTTACGGCATTTCTTATTATTAGACGATCGTTCAGGATGCACGTTGTAATTTTTTACTCTGTTATAAGTGCTTTTGTAATACTATTATCAATAGAATAGCTTATGGCATGTAGTAATGTGATTGTTTTACAATTTTGACTTCTGGACGTAGTTAGGCTAGTTCATTGAGATATTATAACAAGAAAAGTAGTATTTAATATCAAATTTGCTAATCACCTCAATTGTATAAGCAATAACTTATTAAAAGTGGGTAAGATAGGTATAAAATATATAATTGACTGATTTAAACCGTTAGTTATAAATGCGTCCTAGTAAATGGGTTGGATCTGTTATCTTACCGAAGCTGAATTTCTCTTGTTGTAGGTTATCAGAATTATTGAGTTATCATTCCATTACTACCGGAGCTGAGATTGTTAAGCTGAACCCTTCATCATAGATTATTTTCTTTGTTATATACCAATATTTGGAAAGTAAAGCTACAAAGATGAGCCATCAGTACGGAAAAGCGCCGACTCAGGAGGAAGAAGAGTAAGTATTAGAAATGTTACTGGCGAGTTACTTAATTTTAATACCGTACTATTTATCAAGATAGTACGTGTTGTTATAATGATATATGAATCTATAGAGTCCTAATGATTTTATTCCTGCTCTGCTAAATTTTATCAAAACTCATTCTGATTATTCATATCCTTTTAGGCAATTCGTACCTATGCAGCCAAGCGGCTATAGGGACGGCGATGATGCAGGTCGCTATCATCGTAAAACATATACTGAAAAGTCTTTCAAAAATCGTATGCAAAAAAATTTTTGGCTTGCAAAGCAAACTATGATAGAGAAATTGGGTAAAGAACAAGATGAACATGTTGTGGCGAGTGACTTAGAATTGGATCAAACTTTAGAGGCAAGTTGACATGCTAGTTGTTGATATAGATGTTGAAAATAAAGATAGTAGTGTTGTATTATAACAATTTTTTACCAATTCTGTAACTGTTATAGCCATTAAATAAGTTTCCATAATTGAACAATTTCAGATTTACAAGCAGTTAAGTGTAACATCAACTCAGTTATTGAAGGCTGTTGAGAGGTATCAAAATGCTCTCAGAGGTAACAAGCTAAAATCTCATCATTTTTAAAGTATTTCAATCAATGATAAATGCCTGTCCTAAAATATCGTATTATTGTAAAAGAATTGTCCAGTGATGAAGGCGAATTGGCTCGTTTTATTCAAGAACATGGAGCAAACGATAAGACTCGAGCTGGTAAAATGATGCGAGTTGTTGGGAAATCGTTGGGATTTACCGGCCAACAAAGGTTTAAAGTTTCTCCTTATTACCTAATTCTATTGTAAATCTATAGAAGATAGATAGATCCATGTTTGATGAAATTTTTATACGAATTAAAATGTAGACTCCTTGTTCGGGGCTCCTTAGTAAGATTACTACAAGAAGTAGGAACTTTTCGCCAGCGTGCTCTATCAGATTGTGCTTTAACGATCCAGCGTATGCAGACTGCACGTACGGAATATCGAGCTGCTTTATTATGGCTGAAAGACGCTTCTCAGGATCTTGATCCGGATGTGAATAAAAGATTGGACAAATTTCGTAAGGTTAGTATGACAGTATATGGTCAACTATAACATAAATATACAGGATACGAATATGGCGGTGTCTCGTATGTAGGGATACAGCCTATCTTCTTTTTAGATATTCCCAGGCAACTTTATGGTCTTAATTAAATGATGATTGTTATTTTTAGATTCAAACAATTGTAAAGAGAAGTCATGAGAAATTTCGTAGTTTAAAATTCGATGCTTGTCAGAAAATTGAGTTATTAAATGCCAGTCGAGCCAATTTATTTTCGCAAACATTGGCTCCTTATCAACAGCAAATAATGAAATTTTGGAAGATTTCAAATCGTAGTATGAGTGGCATAGCAGATTCATTCCGTGGATACCAACATTATGAATACCGAGTTCTAAAGGAGTTACAAGAGCCACTACCAGAGGATCTAAATGAAAATGATGAGGACAGATTAGGTGAAATTCAGGAAGATGACCAAAATCTTCCAGGTAAAGAAGAGGCACAAGGAGAAAATGATGAGGCATTAAATCGAAATGTTGATGAAATGTCGGCAAATATGGCATCTTTGATTTCTTTTGATGAGAACAGAAATACAGAATACCAATATGATACTGAACTTCCCGATTCAAGATCAGATGATGATCCATTAATAGGGACGGAAGAGATTCCTTCTGCTTACATTGATATGCTTTCAGCACAAGAGACGTCAATGCAACAAAGTGCTACGCAAGAAATGCTAACTGGTGATGGCAATCTCTATGACCCAAATTTACAACAATTAGCTCCAATGGCTGGAGATAATCAACAGCAATTCTATGATACTTCGGATGGACAGCAATATGAAAGCCAGGACGGAGGAAATGATGTTAATCTTCTGAACGATATTTTAAATTCTCCTCCTGTAGAGGGAGCAGTACCAAGTTCTGAGAATGAAGCGTCTATGAACGATTTTCAAAAGCAGTGGCAAACTGTTTTTGGTTCAACAGAAGCTAATCCACAATCGGAATATTCTTCTGAATTGACCAACTTACTCGGAAGTCAAACTAGTGGCACTACCTCTTGGATGCCATCGAATCTATTAGATGAGTCAACAACGCCAGGTGATAATCTTATGACACCAATACAAAACATGTCATCAGCGCCATCATCTGACAAACCGAGCTCAAAAGCAACAGGAAAGAAATCTAATGTTGCAAAAGGTGACTCTTCAAAGTTAGCTTCTTGGTTTAATTTATTTGCAGACTTAGATCCTTTGTCCAATCCTGATTCAATTGGCGTTAAGAAAGATGAAGTTGAAGAAAGAAATTGTTAATGTAGGTATTAGACGAAGCAGATGGTACGAGACTTTGTTGTATAAAATGCTGCAAGAACGCCAAGCAGACTGAATTGTACTGGTACTATCCAATAGTACTGCAAAAGAAATACTATATGATTATATCTCAATTAGCTATTTGCTATCTCATATATAAACTGTTGATATAGCAAAGAATGGAGCTATTTCCTCTGTTGTAATTCAGTGCGTAAATTTACGGAGAATTAGTTCATTAAAGATGTAGTATTTAAAATTTCACATCATTTAACATAAATTATTATTTACTTTAGGTCAGAACACTTGCGCCTACTGCGCATAACTGATAGGATAAGTTTACTTGTATGTAACTGTCTAGACATTTAATTTTTCGTATTGGTATTTCGTTACATTCCTACGGCTGTAGGAAACAAACGTAATAAGTACCTAATCATATCGTTTCATACGATATGTACTTTTATGACCTGCTTATCATCTTTAATCAATGAAAGACTTCTATTCTTGGCATAAAAATTATTAAACAGAGTACAGATAGTAGTTTTACTTATTAGTTATCGCCGGTTGCTATTGTAGCCTTGTTGGCGTACATTATATAGTTCTAAATCGCTTCATAGATAAATAGCTATTGTACTACTTCATTACTTAACATGCAATTATATATTCTAACCCTCATTTTCCATATAAAATAACGAAAAACTGACTCTTCTGGTCTGAATATAATGGTATTGTGTGTTGAGCTTGCAGTGAACGCATTTCCGCTACCTTCCAATACATATGTACATGTTTTAACTATTCTCGCCTGCGATTTAAGTAGTAGTGATTATTACTCAGGCAATGCTGTCGATGGTACAGTATGGTGGCAATGTAGCACCTTTTATCAATGTAATCAGAAATACATTTTGATTAACTGATTCTTTTAAACACTTATGATGCCAAATAGGTCATAAACTGCTATTTTGAACGGTCTTGATTATGACTTGCATTTCGGTCATGGCAGTAATGCTAAAATATTCCGATTGTAAGCAATAATTCTATTTTGTAATCGGTAAAATAAGCAGTGCCTTTACTCAGCGAAATGTATTGTACAGGTTTTTGGACTTTACGGATGGAATTATTATATTCTATACCTTTTTTGCATATCTGAAGTTATAGTAATTGGAAATATTAATCTATGTAGGGATAACTGTTTAAGATGAAAATTATTTCTCGCTCCGCTTCTATTCCATGATATTTGTAATTGTAATTTATTCAATTCTAATGCAAACTCAATGCGAAATGTAAATGGTAATGCAATAGTTGTCCATAAGTTCATTAATAATATCAGGAATGAGGGAGTATCTCAGGTGAGATCTCGGAATTTGAAAGAAAGCTTGGATACTACTGGCTTGTAATAATAAAGATTATAATGATTACTAAAAATGATTGAAAGAATTGTTTGTAGAATTTATGTAATTGGCAGATTTAGATTATGAATATCATAATTTCTTATAGAATAAGTTTGACTCTATTGCGGCAGTTACTTTACAATTATTGGAGACGTTTAAGAACAGTCATACAAAATTGATTACAAGTATGTAAATTGGAAAGGTTCTAATTTGTAGTAGACCAAGTATACAGTAAAGAAAAGCGATTGTAGCAATTTTTACGGAAAGATTGTAACGCTTCAACACTATGCCCTTTGCACACTGTAAATCAGTTAGAGTCAAAGAGCATCCCCATTTATAATCGATTGATGGAATACAATTTATAATTTATATCCTTGAAAATACTAAATCACTTAATTAAGCTTATCATAGGTTTAGAAGGTAATTTGTAATTTCTTACTATTTTGATATAAGTGTTATAAATGATATTCGTTATGATTAATCGTTCGAAACTCTTACATAAATACTACATAAACTTCTATTCAAAATTAACGGAACGATACTGCTTTTGTTTAGAATTAACACATACTGTTGCTAGTGTATAAAAGAATGAATACGATAGTATTTACCGAATCTATTACTTTCTGCTTATTTCTAATGCCATCAATTCATATTTATTAATTACAAATCAAAAATTATTAGGTTAGTTGCAAATATATACTTTGTATTATGCAAAAATACATCAATGAGTTAACATTTGATTTAGGTAGCATAATATAAATCAATAAGTTGATTAAGCCAAAAGTTACTTAACAAATTCGATAAATCAGGAGTGCTTTAGGTAATCCAAATCAACAAAAATGATCGTATATCTATCTAGTCCATTAGCAGATAATTACTATATCAATTTACAGTTTGTTTAATATACTCTCCAAATTGATAGCATTAATAAGTAGATTAAGCATAAACATAATTGATATAAACCCGAAAATAATTAAACACTCTTTAATTTTTCATCAATGACAAATCTAAATCCAATACTACTGATACTTGAAAATTATTACTTCATAACAGGTTAACGTTTAACTTCAGATCATATTATTCTGATGTAGTAGATCATCGATAGCTGAATAAAATACATGTATCTTAAATTTCTTATCTTTTCATTCAAAAATTTATAAATATGTTATAAATTTCGCTACCAAAATAGTAAGACTTAAATCCAATCAGCTTGATACACGTACAGATATGATTTTATACTGTGCTGTTTGCCAACAGAGATTGATACATACTTTGCTATAGAATAAAGCTAATTTATCTGTAATTGTAATATAATATAAATGATCAAAAGGATTACATCCTAGAATATTTATATATTTCAGACATTTGATATGTACATAAGTATAGATATAATACAGTAGAAATTTTGCACAAGATCCTCAATCCTAGAAAATAAACAATATCTCAAATAAAAGAAAATATACGAAATTGATGTTTTGTGTGTTTTCTAGTAATTCATGTATATTTCTTGTCCATTCAACTAATACTGATACTAGCTGCTGTTGTCCTTGTCCTACATGACTACGAGTATAACTAGTTGTAAATAGAAATCAAGCCAGCGTCCCTCTTATTGATGGTGTATCATCTGTCACATTTGCTATCGAAGAATCAATCAGTTGTTCTTGTTCAGATTGTAGTGAAGCTTTCCTAAATTCATTAACATATTAGTTAAAGTCGTTCACCGTAAACCGTAGATTTTTTACTTTTTGATTATTATCACTGATACTCTGTAATATAGTAAATATTACTGGTGTATAGATATTTATGGTTAATTAAGGAAATACAGAACTCGACTATTAATTTCTTTTAAGTGATTAAAAAATCTTCATTATCATTACCGACATGAAGTGAAACAAAACAAACGCAGGACTTTTCTCTTAAAACAGGTCAATAATTGACGGAAAATGCAGCATACAGGATCCCAATTATCGTAATAACAAGCCCAACATAATGCCAAATACGATAATAAGACAAGAATACCGCCACCAACGTATATGGCTTCAAATTTTTCCTAAAGTATTTATAAAATGAGATCAGTTCGTAGCAATTGTATCATTTATCTTGATGTAATGGATTACCTTTTTCACTACTACATTAACGATAACAGTTAGGGGGATGGTAAGATTCAAGGAAGCTACAGCCATTATTGATGATGTTAACACACTACTCCTAAAATTAATATATATGGATAAACAAACAATATCAGCTGAAAATATGGAATAAACTTTTGGTAATTTATTCAATGCAGCGAATTATACCAGAGCCACAAGAAACCAATAAAGCTATTTAGTAAGGCGTCGATAAGTAGCAGCAGCAAAACTTGGATAGGAGGAAATTCAAATGGCTCAAAATGGGCATAATTAATACCAATAAGCATAGGCCATGTAGTTAACATTGCAAATAGACCAACATAGCCTATTATAAAGAATTAAATGAGCATAATTTTGACTGTCTTTCTAAGTAATATTTATGTCTAATAAATTTAATGTTAGGGTAGCGGAGTATAATTCATGATTATACTGAAATTTTATCTTACCAAATATTAAAGGCGTACTAATCTGTGTCTTCGTTAGAACTGATCTTTTCACGAACAGTAGATAGCCCGTAAATCTATTTCAGGTGAGCATTTATTTATTAGTTGTAAAATTGATATTGTATGCAAGACATCATGAGATTAATAATAATACAGGAAATCTTACGAGAGAGCGCCAATACACGCAAGAAATGCACTGAGTGGCCATTTATTTGTTATTTTTAGATTGCCAAATAGTAGCATTGCAACACCGGAGAGACTATATCAAAATTAATATTGATGTCAATATGTTGGAGATTTGTACTTCATTTATTAAGATAACGTTAATAAGTTAATAGAACAATACATAAGTAAACTAACTGACAACATAGGTCCAAAGTAATGGAAATTGATAAACTAATACACTGGTTAGATAATTGCTATTCTATTTAAAGCCTTACCTGACTACGATTGCCAAAAATTTAGATAGGGTAAATGCTTCTGATTCAGCATTATTACACGCAAAGCTTAAGACCATAACAAATATACCTACAGATACATTGGATGGTCATTAGGTCAGGTATTGAGAGTTACAAAGATAACTGATAAATTAAAAAATTGTTTATATAAATAGGAGTGCATACCGGACAAAGCAACAAACATATTGATCGTTAGAACATCAGTGCTTGTTAAGGCTTCCGCAAAGACTACATTCGTTACAAACCACTGAGGTAATGATTATAATAGGATTAAAATTGGAATATAACGAAAGTAATATTTTGTATTGCTATCATGAAATTAGATTTGTATCATAGAGAAATGATATAACAAGAAAAAAATAGTTCAGTTCAATTATATGCTGTAGGTTATTGAAAATATGCTATTAAAGATACATGAAAGTAATCCTGTTGAACTTTAATTATCTTTTGTAAAAGTACTTCAGTTCTACTAAATTTAAAAAGTCTTTGAAAAGTAAAATCTCTTAATAAATATGACATTTAAAGACAAGCGTCGTAATAGCATTGAACTCGAATCGATTTTTGTAAAAAGTATTTAGTTCCCGAAACTAAAATGTTATTATAAATATCGTCTCTTAAGCAATACGATATTTGATGATAGCGTCATAATATTGCATTGACATCTTCATTTTTATATAATATTTCAGCTTTACTGAATTGAATATCATCTCTTAACTAAAATAAAACATTTAAGGTAAGTATTGCTATGATATAGAATTCTAGTCTTTTTTTAGGTGGCCTACCGGTGTAACTACGAATATCGCAACTTTAAGGATAGTGAAGGTATACATTGGAGCCATGCTATTATACAGTTTCTTTTCCAATGCTAGAGTATCATTATAGGATAATCTTGCTAAGCGGGCTTCTGCGGAGTAATTATCTGTGTTGAAAATAGAAATGAAGGAGATTTTCATGACATTTAATCCTACTTTGAAACTTTTTTGGAGAATAATATATGTAGTTTAGTACAATAAGCAATGGCATTGCTAAAAAGCTTGTTATTTAGTTATAGAATTAGACTTGCGGACCTAATTTATTGTGAAGGGTAATACGAAAATGCATCATAGATTTCTAGAATCATACCTGGCATTTTGCAGACCATTCGTTGCGTATTAAATGAGACTCGTTTTTTGGATTTCTTAGGATTGGATTTATCCCCAACTAGAATAGGATTGTGGAGCAAGGGTAAGGTATTTTCAAAATGAAACAAAGCCAAGATTTTATTCATAGCGTAGATAGTAAATTTATAGAAATAATAATAAATTTGAACGCTTTTATTTATCATTAGATAGTTAAAGATTATACCTTTTCGTATTTCTTCACGCTTAGGCAGTTCGGTCCATTTAATTGTTTCTAACCAAGGTGTTTGCTACATTATTAAGAGATATAGAGCAACGAATCAGTGTCAAACTTTAGATACTGTTTCTGTAAATGAATTTTTGATGGTGTAAGTCGACTCAAAATACGATGATCAGGATTGTAACTCAATGCTATTCCTGCTATTAATCTGCAAGTCTACATGTAAAAGAAAACTTTTTTCACTTTGCTATTGTTGATATTAAGTTATGTACCAGAGGTTCGTATACGATATTGACTTCTTGTTCATCTTTTGTACCATTAACCTAAGCAAAAGGAAGAGATAATATCATGAGTGGCCAATTGATAATATTTAGTTTTAACTGTTTGAAATGATAACGTCATCAGTCAGCAAGAATAAATTTAATTTATGGCTGCACGTTGAATACTAAATGATCATCGAAGCACATTAAAACATTCAATATTGTGTAGTAAGTTAAAAGAATCAGCCATTCTAAATGTAATCGATTCGAAATGCTCTCAGCGATGCTACGATTGCCTCAAGCTAATAACGGCCAACAAAAAGTATCCCATTACAGGCTGTAATATATGCTATCTAGAGTACATAATTTACAAGAATTCCTGTGTAAATAATGTGTCGTAATTTAAGCTTTCAGGATTTTGATTACATCATATGGGCACATTCAATATTTGCAATCGCATTCCATCATAATTGTTATTAACAGCAATTTTTAATCCTTTCTATACTCATATGGTTTGTATTCAATACGCCATTTAAAGGAATGCTGTTTACAACATGAATAGGCGTCTACCCATAGTCTATCTTATGTCAAAGTTTTGTATTGACACATTTACTCTAATATTGAACTTTGCCCAAAACATTTTGATTACTTTTTTGATTACTGTATCATTCGGCTACGGTAATCTATTTGAGCTAGTATTAAATCTCACTATTTGATCGCTAAGAAATACTTGCGCCTTACTTGGTGATCTTCTTTTCCTTCAGAATCAGCATCAGTAGAATACTGCGAAGGTAGACAAGGAAAGAAAGGATTTTGTTTACTAGTGTACAACGGCCAAAGGATTAGAATGAGTAGGAAGACCACCATCATCGAAGATTTAACGTAGCCTATGAAACAAGGCTTGGAATAATTCATGCCATGGATGATATGCTATAATATTGATTATAATTTGATTACGTAAAACATTGATTATTGAATATCGAATTCACAAGAAGAAACCATAGCTAAGAATAGTAACAATAATAAAGGCTAGAGTTGGCTGGCATAAAGCCTTCTTATTGAAGGAAGGAATGGCTATTCCGAGTCGTAGTTAATTATATGAAAGCGTAAAATCATACAGCACACTTATTAGCAAAAACATACCAAAATCTCGAAATTTTGGTACTATCGTAGTTATCGATTGAATTCGCAGTGGAAATATTTTATACCGGAAGTAAAAGCAATTTCATCTACATGCATAGAGATCTAGTAGTTGTTACGTTATTTTTGCTACTGAATTTGAAGTTTCTTATGGTAAATATCTCGAATTACGTGATTCTTCTACTATATAAGTTTGCTTAAGCTGCGCATTGCAAGATGATAATAATTTAATTCTTGAAGAGTCGTATTAGAAGACGAATGCTATCGTTTATTTCCCTGCTGAATCGATACCGAAATAGTTTTCAATGGTTTTAATCAAAGATTGTAATCTAAAAGTGTTAATGATTGTTGATGATCTTAGGCTTAAAATGCTTATGAAAATAAGTCCGCAGATAGAAAAAATAGTTCCTTATTGCGATTAAAGATCATAATTTGAAACCATTTGATGATAATGAAGAACATTACAGTTAAGTCTTCATATATAGTAGAAAATTATTACCTCAAAAATGATTGAAGATCATGATCTACAAAGTGCTAGTGATTATTATTAATCAATCTTGCAGTTAACAAGTTCATAAAAGCAAATCTCTAGATAGGAAATCATTGATTTTGTGAAGATTAACTGAGACGAAAATGTCATCTCTGTCAGTATTGATTGTGTAGCTGTAAACAGTCAGTGTCGTAGTTAGAATTGTACTATTGAACCTTGGACATTAGAGAATTGCTTTAACCTTGGCTTATTTACGAATAAAAACAAAATTTGAATGATTTTAGTATCCACTAGAGCTTGCGGTAAATGAATGGAAGATTTTATCAGTATTTAATACACTGTTTTCTCTATGCTGCTGCTACGTCTAGATGCAAATATAAGTACTAGTATAATATCTGATATTCATAAACGACATAAACTAATCGAAGACTTTTAGATGTCAATTTTAACGAGTTTGATGAATTCCATCCCTTCTTCCCTCCTGCTGTTGCTAGCGTCCACCACGATTCCTGGATTGCGGAGTTACTAATTTATCCACCCTGTAAGGACTAAAAATTTCACCATAGCGTCATTTATGTATCTCTATTTAATAGCCAAAAATTGACACTGTGGTGTAATTTCCTTTCCAGCTTTGATTTATGTCCTAACTTGTAGTTATCGTTATGGACATTTTACTATATCAATGATATCGATATAACCGATAACGCTACGGCGAAATAATGCTGTAAATTATCGCTTTCGTAAGAGTTAGTAGCAAAGGATAGACTATTAGTGATTTAACGAAGAAATTGATTTATACTATGATAGTCTAGGCGTACTATAGGATAGTCTAGCTATGGTATACGTAGACGGGGAAAAAGCGTAGAAGCTGTCTGTTGTAGAAAGTTAATTTAAACTGCAGTCTGTAGTAGATTAATTAAGGATTATTCAAGAAAGCCATGTTCAAAAAATACTGTAGCTTGCTATGTCCAGTTGGCTACGATCAGTTGTTAATGAGATTATTATCAAGTTTTGCGATAATTATAATTAGCGTCTTTCGTTACAAATGATGTACAATTATTATGAAGAAATTTCAAAATGGACAAAGCAGTTCAAATTAGCCATTTTAAGACTAGCCTGCTGCGTTGATCAAGAATAGCCAAAAGAACCGTGAATAGCAAGAAAAAAAGTGATTAAGACAGCATTATTGATTTACTGTTCATCACATAAAGTTATTATGTATGTTTAAAATAAGTTCATTAATGGTGATTGCATTTTGCATGGGTCCTATTCCAGCATGGGACAGATATGACGGTTGATAAGAGTGCAATTTTAAGTAATTGTAATAACACTGGAAAAGAAAATAGTCTTGATGATATGCTACATCAGGTTCAAAATGGATGCAAAATTGACTTGTATCTTACCTGTGTTAATTCGATGGAAATAACCCATAGTATATCAACGATGATGAGCAGTACTACACCTAGTAAATATTTTCGGCGATGTGTACAGTGTCGATAAGAAGGCATCTTCAAATCATGAAGCCTACATGCCAATGATAAAGAAAGAAAAAATTGAATGTTGTGACGTTAACATGAAACCTTTAGTTTCATCTTTTCCAAAATTGGAAAGATTTTATGCTATATATAGATCAGCATAGCCATATCTATTCAATAATGTCATTGATGATTGCCATTTAATTTCCGCAAGATTGAAACCATATTTAGGCAAAGAATAAAGTAGGATCGTGGAAACAATAAAGTTTATGTTTGCTACTCTAGAGTATCATCTATGGACAACTAGTCTGTGGTCAATATATGTATAACATTAATAAAACAAGTTGATCTATTGCTTGAATGATTGATCGATAAGATGAGTTAGCAAAGATGAAACAATGATTCATCTTTACCAAAGTATTTCAGTCCTGAATTTTGTACTATTGAAATGAGAGAAGAAGATCATTCGCCTTTAATCTGCTATATCTATTGTAACTTGACAACTAGTTAGGATATCAGTTGATGACTTGATCCTGCTATAATTGTAAGCGAAGAGTGAGAATGTTTAACGATGGCAGCAAGGCAAGAAGAAAGAATCGAGGGTAACGAGACTGTCCTGTGCAGAAAAAAAAAAAGAAAAAATAAGGAGAGCAAACCTCCAACGCCGGCTGTTGATATTGTCTCGCATTAGAGTATTATTGCCATTCCTTTTCCTGGTAAAAGTTGCTATCGTTGGATCGTCGTTGGACTTGTGGAAAGAGAGGAACGATAACAAATGAACAGGCACAAGCAGTGACTGCAAAATGAGAGGAAAAAAAAATGAAATGATGACAATCTGTCAGTCCAATCACCAGAAATTAAAGGGTCGATTTACAATCGCTAACCACCCAATACGTTCATGCAAGATCAATCGGTTATGGTAAGATGATGGATGATACAGTAATGCCGTAGTAAAAGAAATCTCTACTATAAACTACGCCTACTTGCCTTTCTCTGCTTTCATCAATATACAGTACAAATAATTAATTACTGTCAGCTAGATAAACATGGTTTGATAGGCTGGCCTTAATTGTTCTATACGTTGATGATAAATCAATCAATAGCATTTATATCCTGATCGATGTACCTTATGTTACTAGCTTCGCTTGGCCAATCTTGATGCACGCGATGCTATAATCAATGGTACAATGGATAGAATGGAGTTTTAAGGCAGTTGAGAAACGTGAAATTATCTTTACTCGATCGAAGTTATGGTAGGCAGAAGGAAATTTCTACTATTCCAGTCGAAAGTAAAGAAATATGTGGCCAGCTGGGAACTGTAGGCCATTCAATAGATTTTAACGATAGTACTATCAGAACGTCAATGACTAAAGTAGTCATACAGGAGCTTAACGTATGATTGCTGCCTTGATTAATGAATTAGTTCTGCTTGCTCTATTTTGCTTCCATTTGCAGTCAATAGTCCAATCGTTAGAGCACAATACTGTACGATGAAGAAATTTCGAAGCAGCTGGGAAATGTTAAACTCTAGAGTTCTCTCATTTGATCGGTATTATTAGGGACGCTACGTTAATCCTAGGTGATATTGAATAGTATAGCCGATAGCATAGAATATGGAGGAAGGCGATTGCAACGTAACTTAATCGATGAGGCAGTGGTACTTGTACAGAGCTAGAGTATCAATCAACAAAACAGTTTTCACTTTTCAGGCAACTGAGAATGCCTGCAGTGTTCTCTGTAGAACACTACTGTCAGATTTGATCCATGTTCTTGTACTAATAGGAGTTACTTTAGTTCAAATATTAGTGGTATGGAGTAAGATGATCTATGTAGAATGGAGGAGCAAGAAAGGAGTTTCCTATAGGGCTGTAGTTAGTCAATATTGTAGATGATGAACAGATCCCGAAATTGCGAATGTCTCAGTTATTGCAACTATAATTTGACTGACAAGGAATGCTGTTCAAGTCACAAAATATTTTCTAAAACCATTCCATGAATTTCATTCATTTTGTTAGAACGAAAATTATCAATATGAATTACAGCCGTGCAGATTTTAGAAATAAAGTCATCATTTAAAGCATCATTTTTCACTACATACTGTTCCGGACTACTAAAATACATCTAGAAGTCCATGATACTGTACTGTATAATGATAGAATGAAGGTAAACTGGCCAGATTAAGGCATCTAATCAGGCATTGGTCAACTTGGGGCTTGCCTATAATAATTCTTTTTCACCCTAGGGTCTAGGGAACTCTTAGTCCCAACGTACGATGTCTGTGTTATCATTATTACTCATCCAGTAAAAAAAATAATCTATACAAAATATTCAATTCAAATCAAATCAAATCAATAAACAATTATGTATTTGTACTTTACAATCCATGGTACTGTAAGGTGCGGGAAATCAAACTCAATTCGTAGAGATAATTCAAACATATACGTCTATTAATCCACGGTACTACCAATGTGGCTGGGTTGGCCAATCATTCACATCATTTCTTACTTGCAAGTATTTTCATTCAAGCCACATATTACTGAATTTAAGACCAAAAGTGGATTGTTATAATTATCATCAATGTAGTTATAGATGCAGATAAACCTTGATAGCAATGAGAAACCCATGAAACTCCAATTTATGTCAAATATATTACTTTGAGACGCTTTACTGCCCTGATTATGTACAATAACAGGGCTATTAGTTAATTAAACTGGATGCAATGATGACAATGTGGTTCGAAATCTCTGCTGTACTCAGTAGTCTGTATGTAGTCTCTGTATTAAAATAATACGATCGTAAATCCGTTAAAGAAGTTAACTATCGTTCGTTATGTCCCTGTTATTAGCTTAACTTTTAGCCCATATCTTAGTACAGTGTCTTGGCTGAGTAGTAATGTCGACAGTAAATGGCAAATCTACGCGTGCATGCAATTGCCAACACAGTAATAAGAGTGGACAAATTCGAATTGAACTGCTCTGATTTAATCCGAGGGCAAAGTCTGAGTTATGAGTTATTTCAATGCTTCTACGGCCTAATAGATAGCAATGTAGATAGGACCATTGAATCCAGTATGCAGCATTAAACAGCTTATTGAATAGCAATACAGTATCTGCATTGCAAATGGCTGTTGGCCTATTACTACTCGTATTATGCTGTACGCATTCTTGTTGATCAGTAGAATATAAAGAAGAGTATATTATTTGTATAGCACTTTTATGTGTATAGCTCAGCGTTTAGACCATTCGATACTAAGCAGTAAGTTTTCTAATAACGAAGGGCTTTACTTGAGAAACTAAGCAATTCATCACAGTATAATGTACCAATTATGCAGGCCAAATTGCAGAGCCAAATATGCAGGTTGCAGATCTCTATATCTGTAATAACAGAATGATGCAGAGTAGTCACGACAGTTATAGAGTTCCTTTCTACAGATTCTACAGTATAGTTGCGAATAGTCTGCTGTCGATATTATATTATGGAAATTGATTTCTTTATAAAGCATCTGCAAGGAATGAATTATAACGGCATGTAGTAGTAACAGTTGTAGATCTCTATGCCTGTAATAGCAGAATGATGTAGAGTAGTCACGACAGTCATAGAATTCCTTTCTACAGATTCTACAGTATAGTTGCGAATAGTCTGCTGTCGATATCATATTATGGAAATTGATTTCTTTACAAAGCATCTGCAAGAAATGAATTATAACGGCATGTAGTAGCAACAGTTTTAGATCTCTATGCCTGTAATAGCAGAATGATGCAGAGTAGTCACGACAGTCATAGAATTCCTTTCTACGGATTCTACAGTATAGTTGCGAATAGTCTGCTGTCGATATTATATTATGGAAATTGATTTCTTTACAAGGCATCTGCAAGGAATGAATTATAACAGCATGTAGTAGTAACAGTTAAGAGATGGTTTTGCTCCTACCAATTAATGCCATCGGCGATTTTGTTCCACACAGTGCAGCATTGCCTAAGTGTATTGACAGTATTGGTGCTAGAAACCATGATCAAAGTTGTACGCTTACACTAGCTAACGAGACTTGACCTCATACTGTCGTTAAGATATCATACCAACATTGGCAAATAATTTTCCAAACGCCACATTACATCATCATTCCCTAATGTGCTTTTGGAGAGTACATTGCTACTGATATTCCAGCCAGGAATAAAGCAATTGTTGTTTATCATGCGATTTCTGCTATTTATAGTATGTCTGACGAGTATCTTGCCATGTAGTTGTGGGCTAAAAGTAGCTATCTTGCCAATGATGGGTGGAAGTCATGTTCTAACTATGGATATCATCACACAACAGTTGATTGAGAGAGGACATGAGGTAAGAACAGCCATAACTAAATTGACTACAGAGTAAACTTTGATCGATCTGTTAAGGTTATAGAACAAATAAGAACATACTTAGTTGATGAAATTTCTTTGGTATCGTTTTTACTCTATGTCTATATCAATTAAGGTGTGAATAATCTTCATTACACTATATATCTATTCTGTGCAATCGTCAGATCGATGTAAACTGAACTGTGTTAACAGCAAGCTGCAACAACTTTATTACGTGTCTAGAAGAGATACAACAATGATTAACTAGATAACAACCATGGAGGAAGTGATATACTACAGCTATATCGTAAATGTTTCGGTCATAGAACGTATTGTGCATTCTATGGTGCTCAAACATTCATAGTATCGGGACTAACTGACCTATAGAATTGAGCAGAAAGCATTCAAGCAAATTATTTTGCTAAGGACGTCATGCTCAGCGCTTATTGAGCATGTGTACGTGTGTAAACGAATCTTCTTGGATTGCTAATCAAAGTAACTACTTTATTCCATCGACAAATTACTTCTATCACAAAATATTGATGGTAAAATTAACAGTAAACAATTTTTTAAACAAGCAGGATGAATCGAGTCGCCTACAAAATTTTGAACTCTGCTGAAAGATAATTTCAATACTTGGTATATTACTTGCCACGCTAGTAATTAGCTATGGATTGCTAAATTACAGGTAATTTAGTGATCCATGAACTAATATCATATGCCATGCAGATATAGTAGATAAAATAAGTGTATATACATTGAATAAGTCAACTTGAGTATGTAAGTACACTGAAGCCCAAAGCACATCGTATAGCGTACGAGTATATGTATTACAATTAGATGACATGCCATTATGATGCTTTTTATTAATATTATATACTTTTATTTATAAGCTTTTCATAAGCTGTCTCTAAATTGACAATACTGTTTACCACGTATTAATCCTCACTAAATGATATTAACACGTATCCTGATACTTTTCCTAGACTGTAACCATCATCTCCAATCAACCCGGTCAGCTCCGAAAAATGAAACCATCTCCAACCGTTTTATACAACGTTGAGAACCCAATTATTGCAGGCCAAAGAGCAGCCAATGTTACAAAATTATCTCTAATTGGCTTAGTTCAAAGTCTATTCGAAATACAACGACAGTATTGTGAAGCTACCTTAGCTAACGATACACTAGTCCGGTTGCTAGACGATGTCGACATTTTCGTAACTGATAGCTTATATATCTGCGGCGTACTAGTACCAGAAATGCTTCAAAAGCCTAATATAATCATATCCCTTGGAGCAGATATTATTGGTTATCATACATTCTTAGCAGATTATGCTGATTCAACTTATATCCCAATGCTGGGTTTTTTCCATTCTACAAAGTTAACTATGATTCAACGGGCCTTTAATGCAGCCATTAAACAATTCTTACTAATTACTTATTCATACATGTCATCGAATTTAATGAATAGTTTACGATACAAGTTCAACATTAGCACACAGTCAAGTCATTATAGAATAAAAAGAAATCCATCGCTTTTTCTAGCTGCATGTGATTTTGCTTTAGAATATCCGAGACCATTACCACCGAATATCAAAGTTATTGGGCCATTATCTCCTCGACCTTCATCATCATTATCTAAAGAACTTGAAGATTATATGCAAGCTTCTGATAATGGTATCATCGTATTATCATTAGGCACGGAATTACAACTGCCTAAAGTTAAAGCTACAGAAATGTTGAAAGCTTTAGCACAAATACCATATCGTGTGTTGTGGAAAGGTAATCAACCCGAAGAAACAATTTCAGATAACGTAAAAGTAATCAAATGGATGCCACAAAATGATATCCTTGGCCACAACAAGACGGTTGGATTTATCACACATTGTGGAGCAAACGGTTTATATGAAGCTGCTTATCATGGAGTCCCAATGATTGGAATGCCCTCAATGATTGAACAAAAAGGAAACGCAGGTAGAATGGTTAGTGCAGGTATCGGCGTACTTATTAACTATCATCAATTTCAAGCGAAGGATATAGTGAAGGCTGTTCAAGAAATAACTACCAATGGAAGGTATATGATAGTATATTAAAAGAGTAATTTATTCCTCTTATTTAGTTTACCACGGTCTAGCATAGTGTTATAGAAATAATATAACAACTTTTAAAATTATTTGTGCAATTGGTTTATGATCAACGTTTCACTTGTATCGTTACTACTATAGTAAATTGTAATGGTCTAAATTTGTAACTAGATACAAAGAAAATGTTATGAAGGTTTCACGTATTTTGAAAAGCAGGCCAAGAGCTCCGCGAGATGTTGTCGTTGATTGGGTCGAATATGTCGCTAATACTAATGGAGCACATCATTTAAAAGTTAAGGGTGAAGAACTCTGGCTGTATGAGTATTATAATCTAGATGTGTGCTTGTTTATCGCAATGATAATGTATTTTATATATCTTATGATGAGAGTGTGCAAAAATATGATGTTGGGAAAGCAATCCAAGTTGAAAGATGACTAAAAAATCTTTATCTCGACCATTAAAGACCGACTTAGATAAAGCAATTAGCTTAAAGAGGATAATTAAAACCCTGAAATAATATCCATATTTAATACTTATTGCTTTCTTAATAATCGTTTATAAACTAAATGGAGCATTTTTAATGTTGATATAGAAAATTGAGGATTACTATCTTGTTAATTTAAATTCAACTCCTTTAATGTACCATTTATTCGAGATTATTGATCAGTGAGTATAGTACGGTAATTAGTGAATTTCCGTTAAGTTATAATATACCATGTGACATCCCAATTTATATAAATGTGTCATTGCCTAATTGGAGCAGGTAAACAATTCTTGTTATATAATCGTCGCCACAAATATAATTTACCTGTGAAATGTTAAAAAAAAATTGTTTACTGAGCGCTTTGCTAAACTGTTACCGTTATGTCTCTCTAACTGAGCATTCCTGATTAATTAAAATAGAATTGAATTTTTAACCTTGAGATACATGTAAGCTGTAAGTTATTTATCTAATTTACCGTGATTTACAGTCAACCCTTTTATCTATTGATAACTTGTGATAGTCACTTCCTAAGATAGCCAACTCAGCTTTGACTAGATACAAAATATTCTTTTAAGTGTTTATGGGCCCTCCATTTAATGGTAGTCGTTCTGTCTGCTCTAGACACTTTCACATAAATTATTTGAAATATAAATTATTAGAAAGAGGCCTAGATCAGGGCTTAAGTTACGAGTCATTGTTGTATGTACTGTTTAGCGACGGGAAAATTAGATACAGAATACAACTGTAATTCAAATAATCGCTACTATACCATAGGGCTTTTCAGACGTAATAGTTACCATTAATAAAATGCATTATTAATCCGATTCGATTTTAAATCGTAAATTTTTTTCTTTGTAATTTGATTTAGGATATATAATTACTACAAATGATTTGATTCTCATTGTATCAACTAGCTGTATTTCATAGCTATAGCATATTCAATTTATAACTCTGTATGCACATTTAAATCTGACGTAATTAGGATAAGTAGTAATGGTACGGCCGCTAAATGATCTAGTATTCGCTTTCTATGTAAATATTGCAGGTTTCTATTTTAACAGAACTAGATATATTCGTACTAGATTTTCAATTCAGTTTGGTCTCATCATCTTTCCTATTATGTTAAATTACTAGAAAGAGCTCTGGGTTATAGTTTAAATTACTAGTCATGATTTAAAGTCTATCTACGATAACCCTAAATAAAGAACATAACTCCAGTTTTAAAGTTAAAATGTTGCTATATCGGTTGCCTTTTTTGAAGATGAAATATTTACTGATGCTAAGCTGTTTTTCAAGCCTCTTAATTCGATTTCACGAAAAAATTTTAGTAGATCTAATATAAGAAATAATACTTTATAGCAATCATAGTTAGCGCATGATATAATTCAACTCAGCTAAAGTAATTGGTTATCCTCATTCTCTATACAGCGCTTAAGATCTATCGTTTATTGAAAACTACGCGGTAATGGTGGCTGGCGTTGTCTAGGCTTTCTTCAATAGTTTAAATTACTATGGTTACTTAGCAATACAAAAAACAGAAAAATTCCGTTCACATAGTCAATATGTTATAGAAGGTTAGTTTTACAATCAGGCTGAAATTCGTTTACCGATAAAAATTCCTTTCTAAAGACATGAAAGTCCGCTATAACATTATTTTCGTATGTATTCATAACAACTGGCGTAAGGAAGCATTACGTAACGGGATCTTAATGATCGCAATTTTATTCATCAATCGTCACCGTATTGAATTTTATTACTATAGGCAGCGAGCAAGTTATCAACAAGATAGCCTGAATTAGAATATTAATGATCATTGATTCGAGTAAACGCCAACTCCTGACAATAAATCCTATATAACAAAAATTACATAAGTACTACATTTATGACAATTATGACAATAGCGACGATAGTTGTTTACTTAGTTTGAAGGATAACGATGTCCTCCAACAAAGCATTAATTATTTGTTGGCATTTGATTTAAACTATTGTTTTCCAAGGTATAATTACCTCATTTTTATAATTATATTGTTAATTTTGATGTAGCCTACAATAGCTAGCATTACGTCAAGCTCTAAAACATGAATTAGGCTTGCTTTCAAATTCTTTTATTCGCGTCGATGATTGCTTGTCACTAATTAAAGTCATCTACTCACACTTCAGAATATTACCAGAATTGATTGAATCAGCTTTAGATAGTTTCATGTTGATACCGCTACTGCTATCCTTGCTGCATTCATGATGGATTTGGAGAGAATATTGGAATTACATGTTACAGTATCAATCGGTAAGTCTCAAAATACAAAGTATCAATAAAGCCAAAATAACGCTGAACATAATATTGTAATCTTATTTTAAGCGAAAATTACTTCCAACCTTGATTTTATAACAACAATCAATAAATAGTGCCTATAACTTGCCGGAAAACATTTTACATGATATGACGGTAGCGGATACATAGAAGAATTAGATTATTAAAGGTTCAAAAAACTGAAAACATTAAATTAGTCTATATTAGAGACTGTGACTATCAAACTTAAAGACTGTTGACAAAGTAAAGCTACATTAATTTATTGCTAGATCTGCTTTATCACCCTCTAAAGCTACTAAGTAATGTAGGATGTTGTGAAACTCTTTGTTGATACAATGATTATTTCCCTGGATACATCGCGCTTACATGTAATTTTCAACATTAGCGATATTGATAGTCTTCTAAAATGAATTAAAATGGGTAAAATATGTTCACTTTACAGTACTATATATCTTTCTTCTATTATCATCTATTAATGTTACAAAGTACTGTCGAACATTGTGAAAAATTTTTACTATAATTTACATTCGCCTTGACAGCTATCGCTACTTGTAATATTTTTACCGTCATAAATAATTAATCGTAGCCTTGTCAGCTAGATTAGAACTTGTGTGAGAAGTAGTTCTAAAACCCCGCACTTTATCCCACAACAATCTCGGACAATTAAAGTCAACTTCCTTCCAATTTTTGAAATGCCTAATTAGAAATTAAAAATTTAAATTACAAGCATAATTTAATTGATGATCATGTTTATAAGTTGCTGACACTTGTATCAGTATTACTGTTATATCGCCCTTCTAAACGTACCATATCACAGTGGAAAATTTAATTCTCGAACTACGTATGATTATTAACTGATATAGCTAATACGATCACATTTAACTTTAGCGAGTATATTTAGTGACTTATGTCTCTAAAGCTTTATTTGAAGTTTTAAATTGGCCATAAGTTAGACAGAAGAAATTGCTCATCTCTGACTTTTTCTTTATTACCGTACATCTTTTTCACTGTGATTAAGAACTTGATGTTTTGTTTATAATTAATTATAAATAGATCCAATTTAAAAGACTGTACCTCATTTAAATCAGTACTCCCGGTATAAGCGTTTATTGCGATCATTGTTTGAAGCTTCCCTTAAAATTTTACTTGGAGTTATAAACCGATCTAACTTAAAAAGGATTCCTTCCGTTTCATCCAGTACCTTATATTATTCGTCATGATTGTTATTTGAAAAACATTTTCATTAATCAAAAAACATGTTCTCATCTATCTTTTATTCCAAACAGATGAAAACGAAGCATTAGATGCAGCTGTTGAACAATATTTTCAACAAGTGGAAAAAGATTTGGTAGGTAGATGGGAAATTCAAATCATACCGTAGAATATTTGTGTAGAACTCAATTATTTTTTACGTATTCGTTCTCAAGCGTCTTTTCTGTTTGACTTGATAAGATTATACTTGAAATATTACTTATGTTTTGGGCGTCGATATTAGTTTAGTCTTTGTTTACTGGAGTCTACTATAGTGTTCAATAGCAATACAATAACTTCAACAAAAGTAATAGCTTGCCTTAATTGTTTAGTAACTTGTACTGTACAGTATAGCAAGATTACCCAGGATATGTACTATAGTTCGCTATTTAATTAATGATAACAATCGATTAAAACTTGAGTCATTTATTTAGCTAAGATTATTTTACCTTACATAGCAGTATCCTCATAAATCATGAAGTTTGACTTGATCGGTATTAACAAACGTAATCGCCCAACCAAGTGCCGTTAACAGATCTAAAAATAATATTGTTAACTTAATGGATATTCTGCTGGATTAATCTCGTTAACAAAACGGATAAGTATGCAGAGTACTTTGCCTCGCATACTCTTTTGAGTCTATCATATAGACTGGGGTTAATAAATATTATCAACTAGCTTATAATAATTAGATTATGGTCTAATCAAGAATTTATACAGCTAAAAATAGCATTGATTACGGCCATTCTGCGGGATTGATCTCGCTAACGAAATAGATAATGCATAGATTACTTTGTCTTGCATACTCTTTTGAGTCTTATCATTAGATGGGACTGATAAATATTATTCACTAGCTGGTAATCAAGAATTAAGACAGTTTAAAGATAACATTGTTAACGGACATTACGCTGGATTAATCTCGCTAAGGATATAGATAAGGTGTAGATTACTTTGTCTAGCATGCTCTTTTGAATCTTACCATTTAGAATGGGCAAATGAATACTATTAGCTAGTCGATAATCTAATCAAGGATTAATACAGTTAAAAAACATTGATAACAGCCATTCTACTTGATCTATCCATTGTTAACAGTATAGATATAGAAAGCGTTGATGGATTTACCTTATTAACTCTCTTAAATCGAGCTACTTTGACATGATCAATCTTCTTTATCTGATAATTAATTAACCCAATCAACGATTGAAATAGTCAAAGGCAGGATGGACAGGGGGCATTCTATTAGATGCATTCATTGTTAACAGCATAGATAAAAGAAAATATTGATAACTGAGCTCTATCAATTCTTTTAAATGAAGTCATTTTTAATCAATACTAACTGTCTGACATGTCTAATCAAGCGTTAATACATAGTTAAAGATAAGATTGATAACGGTATTCAATTTTTGATCACTTCATTTATTAGCAGTATTAGGTACAGGTAGTGTTGATCGCTATACCTTATCAGCGCTCTTCAATCGACTAATTTTAGATCAAATAATTTTGAACGTTTATAGAAGCTTACTTTATAAGCTAACTTGATGATCTAATCACGATCAATTTATTTAATAAAGAAATCATCGATAGTTAATGTTTTTACTTGATCAGCAATTTTAATTGTATTATCGGATGTTATAACATAACAGAAAAACTATATTGCAGTCGAATTTTTAACATTATTCATTTTTATCTGAGTGATCATTAAAAGCTTCTTTTAAAATATTGTAAACATAAATAAATATGTTATCGTTCAATATATATTTTATAATCTTCTAGCCAAAATTCTTAGAAACTTTGGCAAGCCTATGGGCTGATAACAATCGATCCTATCTAGCTCGGATAGCGGTAGGAATGCTTATCAAGAATTATCTTATCTATCCTTTGGATACCTTGAAAGAGAGATATTATAAAAGATGGAAAGAATTGGATAGAAATTCTAAAGATTGTATTAAAACCGCGGTAACGTAAAAATTATTATATACGTACGATATAACCTTGTTACGGTGTTGTCTTGTCATTAGGATAGTTTAATAAGTACGGTAGTAGCTAGTGTGGAGAATATCCATATTTGTAGTGCTAGGTAAGATAAGTAATACCTTAACGTGGATGTTGTTTGTGATAGTTCATTACATATTTGATTTGATATTGATTGTTATTGTGTCATAGATAACAGTAAGATGATTCAAGTTCTAGTTGATGATAATTGAATTAGATAACCTACGTGCTTAGATTAAGATTAAGTATGAGTAAGAGATTCAAAATATTTACTGATAGAAAAGCTATGTAAGGGTAAGGTATAATAATAATACTGTTGTTGTTCACAAATTAGACGGTTCCTATATAAACGGGAACATTTGAGTTGAGTGGGGTGGTAAAAACTTGTAGATGTATCTTTACTAATAAAAGTTTTATCTTTACAGTATTTTACTGTGTGTGTTTAACGTTAAGTAAAAGGGCGTTTAAGTCAGTAGCTACTTATAGACTTTTACTGTACGTTACCTTATCGCAGAAGTGAAATTGTGACAATCCTATAGATATACTATGATTCTGTGGAGTCTTACCTTAATGATCATCTACCACTTAAAAGATGTTACAAGCACTGGATACCGAGTCAAGCCGACCTTCGTATGTTACTGAGGTATTTGTTACCTTAATCATTAATAAATATAGTGTTTAGAATGGCTATAATTACATTAAATAATGTAAAAATTTGAAATGATACTGTAACAGAATAGCGAAATCATAGCTATTCTAGACTTTTCTGTTTGATATTGTTATTAATAAATATAATTTGTAAACGTGACATTATCAATTAACTAACGGTATAATAGGAATTTTAGATAAACCTTGGCTATAGTACAACATGGTTTTCCTAGTTAAATTTCTTCCACATGCTTAATTAATAGCTTATTGACATTGTTATTGCTTTCTGGTGATTTTAGTGTATTGGCTATGTTGTATACTATGAATTATTGGAGGATGCCGATCCTAAATTGATTCCAGCACTAGCGGAAAACATGATTAATAAGTCCAGTTCAAAAATATTAAAAGAATCATCTGCAGAGGCTATCGGTCATATTTTTCGTTTAATGAAAAATGTGGTAAGATTTATACTTTTAACGAATTCATTCAATGGCTTTGCTACTTTCTATTTTGTGCCGTATTGCTCAGTTTTACATTTACTGTATATTGTATAGGAGAATGATTATTTAATATTAGAATCCGATCATGTATTAGCTGCTTTATTAAATGGGATCAATTGGAAAGATGCAAGGTAGTATCTGTATAGCATTATGGACCAATCTTTTTTCGGTGTGCACAGTTGTTTGTGTCCTTATGTAGATTAAACCCTTAGGGAGTATTTCCACTTAATATGTTTCTAATCAATTAGTCAACGTGTTCAAAATACGATAATGACAGCTTTAAGTCACTTCCTGACATATGTGAAAGAAAATATCAAAAGAGACGTAAGTTATGCCTTGTTATTTTTCTATAAGTTGAGTTCGTTCGCTACGATTAAATTTTAAATTTAAGATTATTTAATCTTGTAGTAATATTTAATAAGAGGCCTTAATTATGCTTTTATACGGTAATGGCTTATTGTGCACGATATTCATTCAATTTAATTAGAGTGCAGATTTCAAAAGTAGTTGGGCATATTTTAATTTTTAAATTCTAAAGAGAGACATAAACAATGTGAATCTTATCAAGCTTTACAAAATGTTTCCTTATTGTAGTTAGATTATGAGTTTTATATTTATGTATGTCTACTTTGGTATTTAAGTTTTAACTACAGTAGATATCAAATATAAATACCTGTAATAACGGCTTCAATACTTTATTTAACTAAATTATAGTAAAGTATATATCTTAAGACTATCCGCCTCAAATCCTATTACTATCCATTTCAACTAATATTTTTTAACTTAAATCTTTACGCTTTCATGGAATAATGACCATGATAGGCTATAAAGAATACGCTACTATTTCATCAAGAGGAAGATGAAGTGATTGATATGAAATATATAAAATATAAAACTATCCCTGAACGCGATGATGACATATTTATTGAAAATAATGGCGTGGTTAGTCATCATATTTGGATAGATTAGTTACCTATGAGCAAAGGCATTCCGTCATAGCTAAATTTTCCACCAAATAAATTTAAATAGGAACATAAATCCAATGGATCATTATCAAGAATAAGCAATGTTGACTACGTGGTTAAAAATGCTCTAGGTTACATGGTGCCAACATTATTAGAATTAATGGCCATTCAGGTAGGAATTTCTCTTCTTCAGATATCAGAAATATTACGGTAACTTACAAGGTGGATATCATCACATTGATTAATTTGAAAACCATTTATAGGACGATCTTGATTGTGATGATGACTTCTTACCATTCGCAACGGTAAGACAGTGTTTTCATGCTATTGGTGCGATTTACCAAGTTGATGTCTTTGAAATTATGAAAGATATAATGAAAGATAGCATTCACGAACATCAATTTCAATGCAGAGCGGCAGCCGTAATCGCTTTAGGTACCTACTGTATAGCCTTGAGACAGAACATATCAATTAGCTATAGACAAGAAAAGATTCTAATGTTAATATTAAGGGTAGCTGCTAACTAAAATTGAATTTTAGGTTCATTTTCGGAATTTCTACAGATTAATAAAGATAAACATCAAGAATTTCTAAATTCTGTTAGTATCTATGGCTTACCAAGATGTGTATAGTTAATTATGTCATGAAAGAAACCTTATCTTTACAATTAATACTATTTCCCATTTTAATTAAATAGCTTATACAGATATTAATGAAAATGATACAAGATGATAATGAAATTATACGTCAGTGTGTTGTATGGGCATTAGGCAAAATTGCAAGAAAGTCGTTGAAAATATTAGAGAGAAATGTTATAGAGTCGATTGTTGATGTCTTGATGGAGAAATTTCATGGGAGTATCAAGGTTACAGCAAGTATTTGCAAGGTAATTCAGTGTTTTAATTTCAAAAGAGGAAATAAAGTCTACCATGATGGCTTAATAATAGCTTGTGTCTGTTGGAAATAAGGCATTCACATCACTAGGTATAGAAGCTTATCGCCTTCAAGGTGGCGATCCAATCCCGTATTATTATCGACTATCACTTTATTACGAAGAAATTGTGATGGAATTACTTCACATTGCCGATAAGTAAACAACCTTATAGGTTAATTAGCTATTCGATTTTAGCTCAAATTAAGCCATTGATTGCAATTCTTGATGGTAGGTATTGGAAAATGGATGGTAAAGACGCCTGTAAAATGTTTCAAATTGTATATCAATCATTACAGCAGTTTATACAATATAGTCCGATTGTAAGAATTGTTACTTTCTTTCCATATTGACTCGATAATCTATATATATTGAAACCTGAGTAAATTTCAATCAAAATTTAATTATGATGTATAGGATTGCTATGATGATGTCAAAACGGTTGCTACTATTATCAAGAATAAATTAAGAGTGACTTTACGGGAAGAAAAAGTCAGTTTAAAACAGTTGATTGGTTTTAAGCTTGCCTTCGAATTTTGATATTTTTTACTTAATGACAGAATGAACAAGATCATGTTAAACAAGTTGAGCTGCAATGCAGACTGTGTGAAGTACTACAGGTTAGATGAAAAAGTAAAATAAAACTGAAAGCAATGGAATAAATTTTAGATACCGTAGTAAATTTTTAAGTATTCGTACTGGTGGATTGATAACTTCGATTGCGAATTATAGAAATTTATACAAAGAGCTCATAGTGATGATATTGCAAAATGGAAAGATGGCCTTATAACTTTAATAATATCGGTATTTAAATCATCTACTGACGGGAGTGGCAATCTCCAAAGCATAACATTATCCAATTTGGCTACACTTGCTGAAAGTAATAAATTAATATACAGTAATATCTGACTCTAGAGTTCTATTGAAATCAACTGTTCTTTTAAGATTGAATTAATATACGTGTAAAGGTGCATTTTTCTGCTTTATGTGCATACTAGCAGATGATGAACTTACCGAGTCTGATTAGAAGAATTTACTGTTTAGCTATATAGATCCAATAATTTAATATCTGTGCACATAAATTAGTATCTAGTCGTTGTGTGCTGTGTAATTTTACTGCATAGTAACGATACTCGAGTGCATCAGATCTGATTAAGTTTATTATTTTAATTCGTTTCGATTAAATATGATAAATTTGATATGCTGTACTATCGTTACTCTGTGTAGTTATAGTTATATAATAGTGATGCATCGGGCTTAAATCCGTTTCGATTAGTTATGATAGATTTGGCATACTGTGCTATCGTTCTTCTGTGTAATTATGTAAGTAATAATGCTCAGTCGTATCAAAGCTGATTAAAATTTACTATTTTAATCTGTTTCGATTAGTTATGATGAATTTAATATACTGTACGTACTACTGCGTCATTCTTTAATATTTTGAGTATGTATTACATGCACTAAATGAGATTGAGCAGTTGGTTCCTTTTCTTTTCCATGAGTTAAGATTAACATGACTATAGCCAGCATAATAACTATGTTTAGGGTATATAATACTAAATGAATTATTATTTCAAATGTAATCTTATAATACAGGGATTAGAGTAGATCTATCAGATTACATAAAGCATATTTACAAGATGATACCATGTCTAATAATTGGATTAAAGGACACTTATCGCAATCAAGTGAGTATAATATTGCAAGTAGCAGCTAAAATAGGAGCTAATTATTATACAAGTGAATTTCTTATGTCCCTGTGCAGTTTAAGTTTCCAGTTTTATGCTTTTAGGGTCGAAAAAGTATGTGGTAATTCTGATAATTGACCTATCGAAAATCGATATTTTATCTGTAAAGGTATTTATTTCAGCGGTTCGCACACTGAAACCTGTCTGCAGGAAATTAAGAACTAACTTTGTTCCTTATTGTTTCGAAATTATTACTATCCTACTTAATAAAATAACGGTAAGTTATTAACAGTTGTTATAATCTATTTGATCGCAAATAGGGTATATCATAGCATAGCTTTTGATATAGCGTAATCACCGTTATTGACATGAAGCTTTCTTCACGCTAGGATATTCCATTTTGTTCATGTTTTAATCAAGACATAATAGCAGCTCTTGGAAACATCGCTGAAAGTATTGGAATGTACTTTGAAAGCTATCTACAACCTGTATTGGAAGCCGTTGATCATGTAGCAGTTAATACAAATCCTGTAAGTTTTATTCAATTATTTCACCTTAATTCTGAAATTTGGGTGGCTAATAGAATCTCTAATCTATCCTTCAAATCATGAAAAATATTATTAAAGGGAGATCTTGGCATCAATTCTTGCCAATTGAGAGATCTTAGAACGACTTGTTTAGAAACTTATAAGCGCATCCTATCTATTACCGGTAATTTCAATAGTATTTTTGGAGATCGATTGATATATCAAGATGATACTAAGGGGTAGATAACATTATCCTACGTGTGCATTATCGATTTTTCATCCTTTTATACCAATTTTAGTGAATAGAGATTTAATTCGTTCCCATATTGGCAATATAGTCAAGTTGATCGATATTTTGGCAACTTCAGAACAATTATCTCGTGAAGAACTCTCTAATACAGCACAAATATTAAGGTAGGGTTAATTTTAAATCTCTCAATGTTTTTTTATTAACAAAATTTCTTAAATGAAAACTTATCGATATTTTCTCTAGATACTTATCGAGTAAGCATGGAAACTCAACCGTTCAATCATTTCTATCAAGTAAGATTATCAAATGGTTGAAATCTGGCATACAAGATATTGATCATCAAAAGACAGCCTACATATGTAGACAAACATTAGATCAGCTAAGTCTGTCGATGTAGAAGCTACTAATGTCCACCATATTTTGAAAAAAATTAATTCTTAACAGAATAAATTGGATGGCATTCTTAGATGATCCTCAATAGACTTTAACTTACAATGCTGATTATATCTTTGATAAAGAGGCATAGTTTCAGCAAAACTCAGCTATAATAAATAGTTCAATTAACACAAACATTTTCTATTTTGCCAATAAATGTGTCGCTTTCATTTAATCTACTTCTCCCTTTTACATTCACCTAGTACCAGTTAGAATACCCTCGTAATAATGGTCCTCTTGTCATTGATTAATAATATATCAAGGTATTGAAAAAAGAGTTCTTACTTTTGTAACATCATGATGTGGTGTTTCATCTTTGGTATTAGTTTAGGAAATGAAATACTATCGAGAATATTTTTATACTGAAAGAGGGAAACCTCTTAATCAAAATAGCAATTACAACGGGTTGACAGTTTTGTGTAGTTGTCGATCGAGATATTAACGGAAGTCAGAAAAAAGCGAATCAACTATTTAGTTAACAAAGATTGGTTTTAATGCAATCGTATTATCGATGCTCTATTCCATTTTAGTAAAATGAACCCTGTTGATTGTAATGGAAGTTAGAAGGGATGCAATAGTTATTTTGCATTTGCTAATTATGATTGGTATTAAATAATATCAATTATAAAAGTACGAGTAATCATACTATCAGATATATTTCTAGTTAAACAAATGAAAACCCATGATTGCAAAGACATATATATAAATCAAATAGACCAGTTATTTGTATGTAATGGCCTAGATTAGTATTGATAACTTTCATATTTTAATTCTTACTCTTTCGGATTAATTTCAGCATCTCTTTCACGATTTTATCGTTAGGGAAGATTTTACACTAATTTAGGATTACATTTAAATTAATAAACGACTAATTGTAGTCAATCAATGTAATTATTCTACGAGTGTTAAAAGACTTAAGAAAGTCGAAAGAAATTTCTAAAGTCCAAAGCAGCTTTTCGGATGACCTTGCTATTACGAATGAAATCACTAGTAATTTATGGAGAAGAAACTGAGCAATGTTCATGGCTTTCTGTCCAAGCATAAATGTCATTGATAGAGTACAGAACTTAAATGTAAGTAATAGATTGGAAATTTTTGTCTGGTTAATACTGTATCACTGATCGATTCCTGTAAAGTAGTGGAGACTAGATTGTAAATCAATTGCAGGAATGAAGAGGAGATATTAAGTCAGGCAGAAACATCAAATTCTTATAGATCCAAAATTTGACTACCTCTTTTACTCATGTTTTTCAAGCAATTTAAAGAGGGAATTCTGTTGGAAGCCCCTGAGGTTTTCCTAGAATGATTGAGATGATCTCAAATACCTGATATAGAATTTTTTCTAGCTCCAGATGTACTTGATGGCAGTAATCAACATACTCATAGCAATTATCGAGATTACATAAAGTATAGTAACACAAGGAAAGAAAGCACTACCAAACATTGTAGATGTTTAAATTGTGACATATTTAATTTAGAACGCTCATTATATACTTGTATAACCAGGGACTACTACGCATAAAAAGAAAGAGACGTAAAGCGATCGTCGACTATACTAATAATGTGCAGGCTGATTATTTTACTGGTTATTTCAACTGTATCGCATATCTGCAAAGACACACTATCCTGTCCTTGATTGACATCTAAATTAGATGCTAATATGTTGCTAAGTTGGTTTTGTGCTGTATGATGTGCGGTTTCATTGGTACAGTATAGTAGAATGATCGAAAAAATGATAGGCCTCCACATTATTTTGCACTAACGGCCGCTTTACGTCCCTCTTGTTTTACTTTTAGTATCGTAGTGCCTGACATAACAACGGCTCAAAAGTTATAGTTGTTTATAGTCTATACCGAATATTCTTGTATCATGTAGTAATACTATAGAACTAGAAAAATTGTTGCAATTTTGGAGAAATTAATAGAGATAAAAATATTATAAATTATGATACTTTTAATTTAAAACGCTCGCTATACGTAAATATTAACGGTTCAAAAGTTACAGCTATTTATAATCTATACCAATTAGTCTTGTATGGTGTAGTAATACAGTAGAACAAGAATTATTGTTGCAATTTTGGAGGATTTAATTTAATTAACAGGTAGGAATATTTTAAATTATGACTTATTTAATTTGGAAAGCTCGCTATAAGATTCAAAAATTACAATTGTTTATAGTCTATACCGATTAGTCTTCTATCATGTAGTGGCACAGAAATATTAGAGCAATTGTCGCAATTTTAGATGATTTGATAGAAAATACTTGTTCAATTATTGCGCTATGCTCTTGAATACTATATTGATATATAGCACTAATGTGTACGCGTATACTCATATTAAGATATTATGATGCCGCAAAATCCGAACTTTCCACAATTGCAATCATAATGATTATATACTCAAGTGAAAAGGTTTAGCTTATCAAAACCTACAATAATAATTACTTTACTGTAGTACTCGTATAGTATTTACTTTAAAATGACATTGCTTTTACCGTAAATTAGCTATGTAATTTTCATTGAACGTATGGTCCTCTAAATATTTCTTAGTACAAAAAAATGTAAATGAAATACCATACGTAGTTGTAGTCAGATAGAACTATTTTGTAAGTTCTCATAGTATACAATAGAGATACAGCTAACAGCCTAATTTTGTATAAGATTTTATTGTTAATGAATGAAGCATGTTTAATAACTCTGAATAAGCATAACTGCTCATGTCCAATTTAACAAGGCTAAAAAAAAATTTATTCACAGCTACTCCCAGTTACCCTGCTACAACTAAAAAATATAGTCTAAATACTTTAAGCTAGCATAGTTTCTACAACTACAGTAAAGTAGGAGGAAAGAAGATATTTTACGGATCTCCTAATATTGTAAATATATGTAGTACCTAAGTAGTCAAATGATAGGCTGGGTATAAAATGTTGCACTCTTACTATGATATCACATGATATATAGAGATTTCACAAATGCCAGTTTGTTAATTTATGGAGTTAAAACGGTTAGAAGATTGTTTTAAAACTTCTAAACACCGACTAAACCAGATCTGGAATGCCGCTAATAATAAAAAGTTGTCAGAAAGGGCGTAGACTACTCGTACGTATATTGGAGTAGGAAATTCCCAGCAAAAGATGATGTTAAATACTTATTGCATTAGGGATATTTTTCGGGTTCAAATGCAGGTATGGTTCCTTTCTGGTTTTATTCCTCTCATCGTTTTCTTTGGAGATTTTCTGAAGTCCCTCATGAAATCTATTGAAATAAAAATAATAATTCAATATTACTGAAACTAAAATTGTAACATTAATTGGAAAATAAATTTGAAAATGGTATTATTAATGACTTAGAATTTTGTCTAATGGATGAATTGATTTGTTTTATTATATTGAAGACAAAAGTTTTGATAAATACGACGTAGGATTGGAGAACTTACTCGTTCAGTGCTTCTACTCCTATTGGATCATATAGGTAGTTGATCTCATAAGTGCCCAATGAATCTGTTGCTTTCTCACTAAGAATTCTAGTCATATCCATTATCTCTCAAGTCATTTCAGAACTAGGTAGGTACTTGACGAAATCACTATCACTGATAGGACTCTAAAGGAAGTAGAAAAGTTATACCAATTATCAATATATCATTCTAGCTATTTTGTAGTGTTTTACAGATTTATGTTGTATGTAAATTGATTATATATCACTGAAGCACAAAATTTGATAAACATTGCTAAATTTTGTTGCTTAGTATTCTGGGCTATTATTATTATCTATTTAATTAAATTAGGAGAGATCAATGAAATCTTTTAATAACAATTATAATTAAGTAAGTAGATATTTAAGTGTTAATATAATGCATGCATTAGTTGATCTCGAATTAAACTGTGTATATTTTAGATACAAATTTTTAAATATTGTACTGTATGCACAAGTATTCACCTTCATGTTTCCAGTTATGTCTATCCTTAAAAGAGAATACTATGGACTGTAATTTGTTAAGAGCTATGAATTAATAAGCTCTTTATTTTCTTGAGAACCCCCAACTGGTACATTCTGTAGCATTGTTAAATCATAAATGAACATTTTCTTCGTCTTAATGGCCTGATCTAAGGTATTGCCTTCCAAGAACGGTTTAATCATGTTGTTGGTAACTTTAAAACTAATAAATTATAGAAGGACTCGTTATCAATTTGTCAACGATTTTTCAAAATTTCTTTTGGAAAATTGCTAGTAACATTGGTTGATATAAGACAATTATCTTACGCAGATAGAATTGCAGTACATAATTCTAATACGACTGGATTAACGCCTTGGAGACGTTGATTGGTGAAATGGATGTTTTGGTCCCATGCAAACTGGCCCTAATGAGCGAAAGACAGAAATTATAAAGGTTGATATAAATCACGTTGTTTCCACGCGATGACTTTACACAGTTTTTTCTCAATGTAAGCGAAAATAGTATTATTTTTCTTACTCTATTGCTTGTAATTACGGTGTATTCACACTCTTTGGAAGTAATTTTATGTTATTCTAATGAATTCTGATTACCGTATACTGTAAATTCACCACATTGCACATAATATTTATTGATCATGCTAGGTCAAGTTTCCTTAGCTAATTATTTTACTAAAGTTAACCAGGTCAGCTTAGTTATTCTCTAAAATAACCATCAATTTGATTATTTAATTAAGTAACTAAGAACCTTTATAAAATAATCATGGGAAAAATTGTTTCCCTATTTGACTTCTTGCTAACTTCAACTGTCATGGTTATTTTTTCCAAGGTGACCCGGTTTACTTCTATAAATAAGTACCGATTGTGCTATTTTATTAAATGACTGGTTAGCTTTACAAAATTAACAATGATGATTTGATGGCTTTATAAAGTAGTTTATTACTTTGTAAACATTATTGGCTCAGTAAACTTGACCTAGCAGTAACATCAAATTTTGCTACCCAAAATTTTGCTATCATCAAGAGATGGCTAAAAAAACTGCATAAAGCTGATAGCAAAACAGTTCCTATCTTACACTAGGCGTATGAAAGTCAGTCCCATCTCGATAGATACTGCTGATATCCGGCAATGACGACCATGATCCATAAACCCACCCAATGGCTGCGTCAGTTAATACTTTGCCAACCTTTTCACAGAAAATTTCGTTCTATATCCGAATAATATATCGAATGGCAAAGAGTACACTTCAATATAAGCGTCTAAACAAACGTATGATGTAATTTTAGTCTCCTAAATTTAATCTACTATCAAGTAAACTACTGTATCAACGGTCGAGCTACGGTTTCGTTAATATGACAAGAATTACGTTTATCCAAAAATTAAAAAAAATAATTCTATATACTGTATACTAGAGATCCTTTATCTCTAGGATTGTGATCTTATACGCACAGAGTAGACTTCATTGAACATTTCTTCACGTGGCAATTGTTTCACCTGTAATCATAAATAAATAAGGATAATAAACAAGCGGACTAGAAGATGACGATATTTCAATATTAGCACAGTAATGTGTTCTATTCATTTTAAAATTGAGCTTATGCAGTACTGTAGTTTAGATTGTGGAGCCAATTTTAAAGTGTCTTTCATAATACGAACTAGCGGTACCTTTATTGATGTCAGCTTACAAAATTAAGAAAAAAAAATGAACAGAGTACAGTACATAACTGGGTAAATTGTCAATCATTACTACTCTTAGCGATACAGATATCATGCACATTATTAACTCGGATTTGTTCTACTCTGGCGTAGGCCTGCAACAACGGAATAACGCTATTCTATTTGAAGGTATACTTACGACTCATTTTGAAATATTACCTGGATAGGAAAACCTGGAAATTTCAGATCAAGTACATAACGCTCTCGCCTCATCAAAAGCTCTTTAAGCAGGCATCACGCTGTTTATCCTTTTGGGGTAGGACACAATCCCACTTTTGGAACTGTCTTGGAATGTTCGGCTTTATCCAACGATGAATTGGGAATTCGGTTTTGACCAACTTGCTACCAGCAATATACTCGATCGATACATATTCGCAAAACCAGTCAGATTGGAATCCTCAGGAATTACGACTGAGCTCAATCGTTTCAATATCGCCTAATTTTTTTCCAGTTTAACAGTGACAGGGAATTTATTGATTTGACCTTTTTCGAATGAGCTTCAAAGTAGCTGAAAATTTTCAAGAGTAGTCTTATGCGATTTATTGTTTTCAGCATCGATGAGAAATATATAAACTGTGGCGCAAGTTTCAGCACCTTTATAATTGTCAGTTTTGACGTAAATAATATAATCGACTTCGTAATCGTCCTTGGTGCAGTCTATGTTGTGATTTTATTTCAACCAAAAAAATGCTCGGTCGGCAATCAAAAAGAATTGTAATCAACAAAATTGAAAGTCTATTGCTTGACGTTTCGGTGCAGATTGATAGGATTGAATTGCTGGTCAGGGCAATGCTCGAATCGACTAGGTTTACTATAGTCGGCTGGAGGCGATGATTCTTTGCGAATAAAAATGAGCAAAGTAACCTCTAGCTTAATCAGGAAAAAATAGCTTTATCCTTACAAATGTCTAATTAACCACGTGCAGTTGATCATTGACCGTTTATGTTTGGTTTGATGACGTGGAATTGAAATAACCTCGAAAATTATATTTATGTAACCCTCTTCACAGTGTGACATCTAACCCTAACCGAATTGTTTATTTGTTAAGATCTTCCGACCTATTATTATTTTTATCACCTTTGTCGTTGGGGTAAGCGTTCTATTTACATATCAGGTCAAAAGATTGTGATTATTCTCGGAAAGTCGAGATCATTAAGCGGATATATTGTACCGTATAATCAACTGGAATATATTAGAGTAAAAAGATTGCTGAGCTATTATCTTCGATAGTGTATAGTACATGTATATTGTATAAATTCAATTTTCGAACGTGGACGAAAAAGGTATTCTAAACAAAAGACCTGTCCAGTTACTGACATGAATGAGCGGACGGCGTCATATTAAACAGACAAATAAAAAAATAAAGAAAACGGGCTGTGGTGTTGTTCTGATTAAAGTAAAGTTTAATTCTGGGGGCTAGTGCATTTCGTGTCATGACTGTCAGTTTGTCACGGGTGTCGTTGGAGACAACTACAAGGTAAAAATCGAAAACGGAGAGAACGCACAGACTCCAATCTTCACTTTTGTTAATTTTCAATATTACGGATTTATATATATATGTCCAGAATATTCTTTTATAAATAATCTCATGTAGCGTATTAAATTTGATAAGCAATTTGCTGTATACAGTACTGTAAAGTATATTTTAATGATAGCAAATGGACGATAAAAATCGTTGGTTAAAAAAACCAAAGCCAGCTTATTGTGATAAATTCCGAACAGCCAACAGTATTTTTTGCTGCTCGTCACTTGGACGCTGAATGCTAGGAGATCAATGTTGCACTTAACTTAATGAGAAGCAAATATTAATCCGTATATGATAAAACAGTCTGCTCTTAAACGGATATAGATTTTAAAAGGACTGGTGATAGAGGTGTTGTTGCCTAAAAAAAAAGGTTCAATCGTCCATTTTTATCCTCTAAATACAGATCTTTACAAACAGCTCGTTAATTTCCCTTGAATCATGCTGCGTTAATTTACTTCGGCAATTTCATTTCTCGAATCCCTGAAGCGAGCAGTGTAATATCATGGGTTTGTTAATAAAAATTAGATCACGAACGGATACCTACGCAAGCACTTGTTAATTAATAAAATGGATATTAAGATTTTATTCACCGAGTAAACGAGGAACGCCCATCATCGGAATTATATATCATACATACGCATAGATTGAGTTATCGAAGTATTGTACACTACAAAACCATAATCTAATTATTGATGGCTCTAGGAGGCACGGACTACTCGAGAAATTCCTTCCCCCAATCGCTCTATTAATTACAATAAAGGGGATAGAGATAGGCAGGCAGGGAAAAATTTCTCGAGTAGTCCATGCAGGAGATCGGATATATCACAGAAATTATCTGTTTACAATATGGAGCCTTCACAACATCAGTTGTTTGTACGGTATGGGTCCGTTCGCCGTCCCATTTCTGTCTACTTCAAGGGACGAGAATTTTTGGTTTAAAAGTCCCTGACAAGCAAAAGAAAACACATGATTGCTGAGATTATACAATATGATACTGGCAGCTTGTTCGATGAAAATCTTGTTTTTAAAGTGTCATATGGAAGTCCAATTCGATTGGTGTTCTTCTAGTCTTCTACTGTTCGACAGTATAGAAATAGGGACTACGAACCATAGAGGTAAAAAGAAAATTCTTTTCCTTTTATCTCTATGCTACCAACAGACGAGAGAGACTTTGCATAGAACGAAAATTTACTACACAACGCCTTAGAGACTAAACTCTAAAGTAATTAACCCTCACTGCTATTCAAATCAAGATTGTAAAAGCTTTGACTTTATAATACTAATGATTGATTGCCATCTACTGTAGTCCAATTCTATGGTTACTTATTGTTAATATGATTGATGTATTTATTTATTTCGTACTAAATGTTTAAACCAGGGTATGCTTGGCGATTAGATCTCTACGTTCTGAAAAAAGATAAAAAATTGACTGTAGTGAGACTGCCCATTGTCGCTACTGTCCTCCTCTTTGAGTTTGTATGCATGGGTGTGTTAAATGTACAATTCAATTTAGGCTTCCAAGCCAATAACATAACTAATTCTCCAATATTTAACTTATTAAGTATATTATTACTGTACATATATATTTGCTGTACTTACAGTCTAAACTGCTGCTACTTTACTCACATTAGATTGATGATGATTACCAGTGTAAGATAATCATTTCATTTTTACAATCTATAGCCGGTAAATGACATTTCACACTTTAAATATAACCTACTACACACCACTGATTCTACCGTATTCAGATCTTAATGTCTTAATGCTAACGTATTAGAGCACATCGTTTGCCGCTGCAATTAATGCGATCTCTATTAGGCTTAATACTTGCAAACAAACCAGGCACCAATTTTACAACCAAAATCAAGTGTAGTTTCCACGTCTTCAATTAATTAAATACCTTTACTAGAGTTAAATCATATTTCAGAATTCTAAATTTCTAATAGCCGAAGGTACTACAATTTCAGTCATCAATAATGCGATAATCACAATTTTACTACCTCTGTGATCATGATTGCCGTGTTTTTTTAACAATTTTAAAATCATTGTGTGAAAATTCTAAACTGATAGTTAACTTGTTAAAATTACTTATGACACTGACACCTGTTATAATGCTATAGTTCACTGCAACATGATCCCCTACGAAATCTGTTAGCATCTCATCTAAACTGCTACTTCAATCGCCTGTTGTTTCCAGCCTATTCTCTACGATAAAGGCTACATTACTCAGCAAGTTATTCCTAAGAATTATATGCAATCGCGAATGATTAGTACTTATTGGATGAACCTAAAACCAAGAAACACTATTGATCTTCACATAATTTCTATATTTGTAAACTGCAACACAGCTGCGACTATACTTTATGCAAACGTTTGTCTAAATTACTTTAAATTGTAATCGAAGTTACATTTTGTGTTACTATAGTACTTGGCGTATGATGGACAGGACCACTAATTTAACCACTTAATGTTGTCTACAGTTTTAAAATGTAAAGTTAAAGTGACTTACACAAAATGATAGATCCATTATTATTGGGTGTCCTCGCTTCGACACATATCATTTATTAATAACAAAATCTTTTTACTGTCGATATTGCATTAAAACTACTTTAAACCGTTTTCTGCGCTGCAAATAATTCATATTCGAATTAAGATAACTGATGTCAGCACGGCTAAGTATAGGGGTAAAGCAGCAAAAATAACTTTGACAAACTGAACTTTAATAAACAATTTCTCTAAAATCACTTCCATTTGTATCAAAGATAGGTGATATCAAACATCCAGTTGCCGTTAAGTAACAATGACTTCCATAACTGAGCTTAAACAATTTTCTAAAGTTACATAACACTTTGACCTGTGCACTGCATCACATCAAGAAATTCTACTAACAGGATACAGTTTTCAAACTTGTTTACCTTTGATAATTTTAAATTAGTAGCGAATTGCTTCTATATCATCTTCAGTACTATTACAATAACTGTCTCTCAACCGGTAAAGTATGCGTTTACTTAATGGCAATTACAAGATAATTTATTTTTTTTTAATTCTCCCAGTTTCCAGAAACTTACGAAATTTTGCTACGTCGGGTCCTTTGTCACCATATCCACGATAATATTCCATCGTGGTATCAATCGCATCCAGCACTAGATCATCAATGAAATTCAGTTACCATTATAATATAGTTTACATAGCATAATTACGTACGAAAAGTAACTATTATTCCAGAAATAAATGCGTTGAGGTGGCTGTAGTACGCAAACCTTAGTTTAATTTATAGTTAATAGAAACATACCATCACCTTTGAGCTTTTTCTTTAACTTGGGTAATTGCTACAATAAACGTATAACCAAGAAAAAGGTGCGAATTATATATGAATTATATTCAAAACATAAACCCTGTATTTTAGCATCCTTGACCATGTGCATTTTATCAGATGTTATACATAAATACAAACGATAAAGGAACGTATCCTTTTCCTATACAAGTATGACTGGTATAAACTGGGATACAAAGAAGGTATATAATGCTGAAACAGACATTTGCACTAACAGATGACAATTACTTGTCATGAATGCCCTTCGATTTAAAAATGATATCTTTATAACTACAAGATTTTAATATTTAGCAACGAATGACATTTGATCAAAGACATCGAGATATGGAGTTTATATATATAACATATTGATGATAACTTCAGACGTCAGTGTTATGCGACTATGAAATCATATGAAATCATTTCAAATATTTTAGGCAGTTCACTAGAATGTAAACTTGTAATTGCACATTATACTGTAAAGGGTAACTAACCTTGCATTTTTGAACAATCACGTTCAATGCTAGTAATAAGTACTTAATAACCTGGGAACATCATAATATTTAATATAAATAGTAAGAAGATAAGAAAACTTTCATATGTCAAAAACAATATATCCTACGTTGCATACTAATCTAAGAATGCGTATAATTTTCAGTGCTTAGATTGAATTTAAAATTCATTGTGGGTTAATATGGACGGTAAGGAATCGGTACTGACCTCGTAGTCGTGGCATCCCGTGATTAATTCGCAAGCTTCCTTAAAGACATTTTCTCGTTTAATCAACTCATTAACCTATCAAGGTACATTAATTTATACACTTTGCTATAAGAGATTAGAGATTATCAACATAGTTTACGTTTAATGTCATATTTGGCTAGCAATATATCTAACTTGTTTATTAGTTCCACAAACGACGATTGTATGGAATACTTCTGTAGGCGGATGAAAATGCTCACAGGTCTTTTTAAAATATCAAAGTTTTATTAAAGACGGAAGGTAATTAATTTACTGTTACCGAAATTGAAAACTATAAGTGCTCCTTAAAACGTACCACATCTATCCAGGAGAAGATAAACGGCACTACATCATTAACAATGAGCTTCTACAATAGTAAGTAGTTATCATAATCAAATTTTTGTAGAGATCAAGATTGAACTTAAGTTAACTACAGTAACATAACGTAGATATTTTCACACACAATGCATAGATTAGCTAACCTGAATCATGTTGTTATTATAACGAGCCAAGTTGTTGAGAAAGATAAACAGATGCTGCAAGAAAGTAAATTTGGTATAAAATGATCGCAGCATCATAATAAAAAGGAAAATCATTTATTAAAGAATGCTGTGATATTTGTTTAAACATTAACTAGTCAAAATTACATCACAAAAAGTTCGGCCTTCCCAATATTCAATTGCATACAAGTTGCAGATAACATGATCGATTAAACCATCAATATTCGCTATAAACTGTAACAATTTCGCAAAAAGAGAAGGTATGACTTTATGTACTAAAATTTTAAAAATTTTAACCTGCTACTTGACATCTTAATAGTGGTATTATACCTGTTGCTGTTTCCGGTCTTTTACGTGTGTAAATATGGTTGTCAAAGTCAGCAATGCCTGATCCTATCAGAGGATTGCCGATACAAGTAAAAGATCAGTTATAAGTTATATTTGTTTGATAATATGAATATAGAGGCAGACTTACATGCAGCTGAAGATCCATAGTCTTTAATATCTCAAATATGCGGTGACAAGGTATGGAAGCTAGAGCTTGCTGTTTAAGGTCATATCAAAAAAATAAATAATTGACATACGAGTAAACAATATGCAGACTGTGTATCCTAGTCATTTTGCATAGTATATCAATGAGATTTATTCTAGTTATTTGATATTGTGGCAAACAAATACAATCAACAAGCACCATTTTCATGCATAATCGCAAGGTTTGGTTTATAACTATCACCACACCCTTATATCTTTTTTCGTATGTTGTAATCTTATTCCGTGTGCATCAAAGGTTAGCAGCTCTTGACTTTCTTCGCTTAAAAAGCTTATAATTTTTAACACGCTACTCAAGACCTATCGATAGAATCGGTTAAGAAAATTAGCTTGTAAAGTACGTATAGCATTGCAATATAATGTAATTAATTGAAACCATTGCGATATTATCTGTAGTATAAAGGTTACCACAATGTCTTCTGACTGTAACAAAACATACACTGCATTCATCAGCTTTGAATAGAAAGAAAGCATTGGAGGTTTAAGTTGGCGTATTAACATTGGTAAATCATCTTTCGTAATGGTTTTAAAGAGATCATTTCATTTCTTTATGCAGCTAACCTCGACAATGTTATTTCTTATGGCATTGCGATAGGCTTCAGTGGTATGCCTATAATAACATTTCGTGCATTTCTTCAAAAGCGCGGCAGCCTCTCGAAGGTATGGTAGCTATTTCAGATTAAGAGGAAAATAAGCATAAAAATTGGATTCAATAGATCTTTTTAGTATTAGCATAAGTATACGCTTGCACCATTCTTTCTAAAGTTACAGCTTTAGTTATTTCCCGAATGATTTCGCAGTCAAACACCATTTCTTGATCTGCTAAATTAACATCATACTTAATTCGCTGAGAATGTAAAGTCTTGTGTAAGATACGAAATTATCGTCACAGATGCATTATTGAGCTTTCAAATATCGGATACTGTAGTTGTTTAAAATAAAGTAAAAATTTCATGTTTCTTTACCGGAGACAATATAGCTTTTTAAGACCTTGAATGCTGCCTCACCCAGTTGGTCAAATGGAGATGAAAAGAAGTTTATGAACATTACAATATCATCGCGAAGTCTTTCTTCTGCTTAGTAAAATAAGAAGATTAGCATTCATGTTTTAAAACCACATACGATACGAAATGTTCAAATTATGTATCATATTCGTATTCACCTTGCAACGGTTTCGTGTAATAAAATATCAGCCAAACATGAGTTTGGTCATCAAGGCAAACCATGCATTTCATCAGTTCTAGTTTAAGTTCAATACTATACAGAAGCATTTTGTCGTTTAGCGCTACATGCAAGACATATCAAGTGTTTATGTATCCCAAGATGAAGCTACTGTTAATTGCTCTATTGTGTCTTCAGTGCTGTCGAGCTTTACCTATCGCTCTTTCGGATTAATTTCAACAACTCTTCCGTAATTTCATCCCTAAGAAATATTTTATAATAATTTAGTGATACATTTCAGTTATAAATTACTAATTGGTTTCAATCAAAGGGAATAATCTACAAGTATTAAAAGACCTAAGAAAGTCGTAAGAAATTCTAAAGTCCAAAGCAGCTTTTCGGATGACCCTGCTGTTTCAATTAAGGCCGTTAGTAATTTATCCAGAAGGAATCGTGTAATATTGACGATATTCTATGCGAGCATAAATATTGTAAATCCTATAGTTAACTGTAACCATGAGACAGGTAATGCTAACATCATCTTCCTGGTACATTATTGAATCTGCTTAAGTTAAGATTAATCAAACACTGAATTGCTTACCGATTCCCACAGAAGGGCTCTTTAAACACATGATCGTTACATAGTTGTACAATTTGTCTAATGGTGGCGTATAAATTAAGAATCTGTTTAATTTCACTACAAGTGAAATAATTGCTCAACCTCATACTTACGGTAAGGTATTAAGGCGAGAGATGATATCTTTGTGTGATGGCGATGTCTGTAAAGTCTTTTTAATGCGGTGGCAAAGTGTAAATAAAAAAATATGAGTAACTTGTAGCAGTTTGGAGGATAAAAAATACTTCATTATTATAGTATATACTGTTTAGGTAAGCTCAGTATTTTCTTTATCCGCATTTGCAGCTGTAACAAAACAGATTGAAAAATACATCATTTTAGTATTTTCCTTTCATACTATCGTTTACCTCGGTGACCAAGTCGAATTCATCCAATAAGTAATCCTAAGAAAAATGAATATGACGATGATAATTACTACTTTATGATCATGCACTAAAGCAGGATCATCGATATACGGCGCAAGTACGTTTAAAGCAAGTGGATAGTTATTAATTTCAAGTTTAAATCTACTATAACAGCAACGAGCATATTTTAGATGAGGATGGATAACTTGGCAATACTGTAAATGAAAAATACGGAGTTAACTACATATTGGATATTTCCCTTCTTCAAAAAGAGCAAACTACGGGCACAATAATGCTAACAGCCTACACAGCTTTCTCTAGCTGATTGCTTCTATTCTCTGTGTTTATTATTGGCCCTGAATTCAGTTTCTATACTGTACTGTCATTAGTCAATCATGATTAATAACATTCGTATATATCCTATACCTTGGTGATATCTTGTTCTTGGTTATTATCATCACAAAGGTAGCTCGCTTCTATCCATGAATTATTTTTGTAGAAGGTACGACAAAAATCAGAATCAAAGATGTAGGTAATACCATCGCTATCAAAATCGAGATCATCCTCAGTCAAGTCGCTCATAGAATCGCCTGATTCTTGACCAGCCATATCTTCTGCCTCGTCTTCAAACATCTTGCTGCTTGATTTACTGAATAAGTTGATGTTTCGAAAGCATTGATTGAGATCGGTCGATCAGCAATGCAACTACTGCATAAATCGTTCCTATTGTCAATCTAAATGTAATAAAAAGGAATACTCAACATATTGACAACTGTACCTTTCGGTCGTAGAGCAATATGCGCCAATTAAGTTGATATTATGATGACAGATGAAGAAGAGCAGTTTAAATGCTTCAGCTAGTTATCGCAGTATTCCTATCTTTCCGGTTCAGAGTAATCCCCACTAACGGTGTTGATGTTGTCAATTTTAATGAAGAAGTGATTGACAAAGCATTAGAAGATTTCTCCAACCTATTCCCCGTTTGAAAATCGTACCAAGATCGAAATGCTCAACGAGGCAAATATGGAAATGTCTAAATCAGCAACCGCGAGTACTTGCGCCAAAATGATGTTGTTTACGGCAAATCAACGAGGTAACAGGGCACAAACCTGAAAGGGAAGGAGTGAAATAGGCTAGATATCTGTTGGATGCCACTTTCGTATTGGCCAAACTCCAGCCACGTGCGGCACGAGTAGACACGAGTAGTAGCATGTGCACTTGTGCAGTTTTCCATGCAGTCTGTGATGGAAGTAAGAGCTAAAAGTAATTGCTTTTTCTTTCCTACTGCAGTATACATACTGCCAAGCAGGATGGCAAGTTTCCGAGATTGTATACCGGTGTATGCTAAAGCCAGTTTTCTCTCGTTACCTTGAGGGGAAAATGTCCTTTTCTTCTTTACTTTTTACGCCCTGATCGGACACTTTACCAATAAACTATCCTAGTCTTAAACCTCTTTCTATAAATCTATAAATGTTCGGTATTGAAGGAAAGAAAAAAGTGTATTCGTCTTCCCTCTATGACCTGACCTAGGACTTGTCCAATAAACTAATTCCTCTTGTCTATTAATTCTACCAATATTCAGATGAAAGAAAAATGTGTAGCCATTCCCTCTATGGCGTGACCAAATGACGAGGACTTCTCGAATAAACTGCAGTATTTCCTCTTTCTAGTGTTAGATTAGAATGGTTTTATCCAGATGGCGTTGGTCTGACATGGGCAGACTACCAATCTCCAGGGTACTCTTAAAAATGAGAGAGGGGATAAAAAGTGATGGGAACATTTTATAAATTGATTATGACATGATGTCACAGACATGTTGTCGAAGAATAGGAGTTATAGGACCTATGGCGTTGAGATAAATATTGATGACATTGAAGTAAAGAGCGTAAACATAGAAGGAAGCTAGAGAAATGTCCAAAAATATAGACAAATTCGGAAATTTGGCCAAATAGTGGCAAGAAGTTGGAACTTGTTGCCTATTCTTTATTAGAGATGTTAATGGTACAGTATAGAGAAATTAAGGAATTGAATGAAATAGATGGTAGGAAATTGTCACTCGTTAATTATTCGTTATAGGAGATGTTAACGATATAGAGAAATTAGGCAATTTAGTGAAATAGAATGGAATATACTGTACGGATAATATTTAACTTTAGCTGTTTAATATTTATTTATTGAAGTTTATTAGAAAGGTAGTACTGCCATTGTTACAATAGCAGCCTACACCAATTCGCTAGGATAAAATAGAGATGGAAATATTTATAGATTGATTATGATATGATATTCTTGGATATTGGCCTATCCAGATGCAGAATCTAATGCAGTAGACAGTGGTTGAATTTAACGGAAGGAGCGAAAGTGTTTAGTATAGCCATCCAGTGTAATAGATTGTTTGCGAGATATTTCAATTTTTTTGCTAGTCAATCACTTGAGCAGAAGTTGTTACCACATTTAATCGATCTCTTTTAAGAAACGGCCATTAAGATTCTATGAAATGTTGCTTCTCCTCAATTTCAGTCATAACTGCATACAGCGAAACTTTGGTTGTTTATCAAAACTTATTTTTATCAAGAAGAGGGAAGAGAGGGAGAGGAGTATACGATGGAATAAGGATAACATTTATACTTGAGTAGTCCCTGTCATTATTCTGCACTAAAAGTTTTCCGAAGAGATCACTGCTTTTCCTGTGGAGTGGATACGTGTATGTAGCTGTGTAATTTATTTTTCAGTGAGCACAAGGTGCTGGAACTATTTTTTTCACTACAATTCATCAGGTAAATTGGCTTACACAAACACATACACTACTCCATCATACGAGTACTGTATACCAGAAGAATATAATACTTTGCGACTGGAATTAGCACAGATCTATCTACGCTAGTAACTGTACAAATAGCATCGCAGTCAGTGTTGGGATCCTTAGTCTTACAGCATTTCACAATAAAGCAAAGTCGCGTCTTAGTTGCGTTTGGTTTACACTTTTTTTAGTTACAGTTAACTATGATTGCTGACAACGTGCTGGGCAAGGAGGGAATGAAAAACCGAAGAAAAAGAGCCTAACCGCATTTTTATAACATTTCGAACATTGAGAGCGGTAATTTCCTGTTTCATATTACAACATACGAACATTGATATACAGTACTGTAATGATAAACTACATTTTAGGTATCAAGATGCAGTTTATGTAGTTTGAACTAAAATTTATTGTTAGTGAAGAAGCTACTCATATAACCTTGGGTAAGTTTAGTCAATCACATTTTATTTAAAGAAACATCACATCCAATTTAAAGAAACATCACATCGATTACTCCTTATAGTTAAAAGTCTATTTTAAGTAGTTCAGTCTTCGTCAATTTTTAGCATGATATTTAGAAGTTGCACCAAATACCATCTACAGTAGTGAATTTACGAAGCTGAAGCTATTAAGAAAGTTGCTGACAACTTTTTTAAACGATGAATAAGAAAGTTTAAAATACTAATAGCAATGAAAATTATCTAGATGGATGTAGACCTTATACGCCTTTGCACGAGTAGGATATGCAAAACCAAATAAGAAGTTAAATACTTATGGCGTTGGGAATATTTTTCGGGTTCAAATGATTGTAAGCTATACGTCTGTGCTTATTTCTCTCATCAATTATTGCCGAAGCTTCCTTGAGTTCAATATTAAATCTATTGAATAAGAAAATAACAATTTAATCTTGTTAAAATCAAATTCTAGAAATAGTACGTGAAGTATAGGTGAGAATTTGCTCCATTTATGTCATAAACTAAAGGCTATTGGATGATTATTTGTGCTGTTATAATTCAGATTAAAATATCGATAATACCATCAAATAACTTACTGTTTTAATGCTGCTACCCCCACTGGATCATAGGTGTAATTGACCTCAAAATCGCCCAATGATTCCGTCGCACGCTGACTAAGAACCCTGGTAATTGTCATTATGCTTACATCATGGGTTTGTTAGGTAACTGCTTAAGGAGATCAGCTTCAGTGATGGGTGACTAAAGTTTAGGTATCAAGGATAGAGCAATTATGAGCATATTTTGATATTTCCGTAGATATACAGTATTGTAGTATTCGTACATCCAATCACTAAAGTATAAAATTTAAAAAATCTTGTACCTCAGTGAATTGTAGGCTATTGTACTAATATTATACTAAATTACGTGGATTAATTAAGTCTTTAGTAAAGTACTTTCGAGTCCAAGTAACTTACTGTACATAACTACCAAAATTACTAACGAAATAGTTATCGTCATGTTTTCTTAATCGGTACAAAAACTAAGATACTATAGTAATCCAACGATATCTAAATCACTTCTAATAACTTCAACTATAGTTTTAATATTTAATTTGTATCGATACGTACTAATAGTTTAACAACTAACTAAATGACTTTCTATAGTAGCTATCAACACGACGATCTCTAGAATATACAAAAATATACTTTATCTCGTGGTGCTTTCCCGTTCATAAATGCTGGATAATTAGGGGGGAAACCATATTCATCGTATTGGCCAAAGTTAACTGCTGCATGGATAGCACTAGAAGTAAATATGAATGATGTGAATGCACTAATAATTTCTTCCTGTGTTTCAAATTTGCCGTTGCCGGGTACTCCTTTAATTTCACAACCCTCAGGATAAGGTGCTACAAGTATTTCAGCAAAATTTTGCAATTCGAAATCATTGGCTATATCATTCTTATTTTTATAATGGCCATTAACAACCCCGGCAACATAATTCTTGATGCAGTTCCAAACAAGTAATCCATCATCTCGATAAGGATAATCTGGCAGTATTTTGGGATCATCCAGCTATTTAGTTGGAGAATAAAAATCAACATTAAATAATTGTAGTTTATAATACGCTAGTGGTTAGATCGAAGCGATATATAACTTATTTATAAAATCATAAATGACTTCCATGATAATCTCTTAGCTGCGTGAATTAAACTATCTCGCCGTTATAGCTATACTCGTACCTTACGGGCTTTTATTTCTTCCGGCAGGGTACCTTCTACATTTAATCGCCACACTTTGAATTGGTGAGCGATAATATCTAATACCCCATCACGGCCAGCTGTCATAGTTGTGTCTATCCAGCCATCAGGTGCTAATAGGGATGTAATCGCTAAACTATATTTAACGATTGAAGGAGAAATGATCAGAGCACTGAATAGCAATTTAAGTTTTAAGTTACATCGATGAATGTACAGTATTATGTATTAATTTAGTTTATAATGTTGATAGGATAATTTAGGGTATATCAGTATTGCGCTAAATCGTATCAATTTAGGGTTCTACCTGTTGATAGCCATAAGGTAAAGGAAATGAGGTGCGATCAGACGATGCAAGGGATGAGACATGCTTAGTGTGCGATTAACAGCCACTGCAATGGATTCAATGATCAAGTGGGTGAAGCCTGAATTTATAGTAAATTTAGATAGAATTCAATAAATTGTATACTGTACAATGTATACATACTAATGCAATGACTAAAATAATAATTCTAATACTATATTAAATATCGTCACAAAACAAAGCTCTGATAGTATAAAGATTGTAGATTGTAGAAAAGAACCTATCTTTACGTAAACTTTTACCTAAATGCGTGCTAGATTGATGAACCATAGCATCAGCATTATTGTAAAACATTTTGGCTAACTTCCAGACATTTCCATCGGTCGGCAGGAAAACCTACAGTACGTGCGTCATAATTCAAATAGCGTCAAAAATTAAATTATATTATATTATTGAAATTTTAAACAGTACATTATCTTATTAAAGAGGTAATGGTGAAGTGCCATCATGCTCTCCAATATTACTATCATTTGTTGTATTTACCGTATGGGGATATCTCTTGTCGGTAGTTGCAAACAATTGTATCGCAACGGGTGTTAATTCATCTTCTTTATTTAAGTAGAAGAGTGCATAAGGATGTACCAGCTAGGAAATATAAAGTAGCAAGCAGATGTAGAGTCTTAATTCAATATGTGTACTAGATGATTTCAAATGCTATAGAATATAATGGAGCAGATGATATTTTAGATAGAGATTTTTTAAAGTTTTGTATCACATACATACATAGTTCTGTATGTGGATGATCTTTCTATAGGAAAGAGTATAGTACAACAGCTTGTTAATAACTATGAATAGCTAACCTCTTTGTCAAGCGGAACACCCGCAAGCGGTACACTATGTAGCATTGATAAATCGCAAAGGAAAATTTTATTCTTGCTGACAGCGTCATCTAAAGTGTAGCCTTCCAAGAATGGCTTAAGCATGTCGTTCGTAACATCGAGACTAATTAATATATAGAAGGTTTTACCGTTAATTTACGTACAATCTTTAAGTAGTCTTTTAAGATTATTAAATTTGCATCTTACGCTGACGGAATTTTGGTACATAATTGCATTATAACCGGATTACAGCCTTGGGTGCGCTGTTTGGCGAAATAGCTGTCCTCATCCCATCTATATCTGCCCTAATAAGCAATAGATAGTAATGGGAAGGGTTAATCCATTACAAAGGATATTTTTCTGGTTTCCCTACGAATGTACAACTTCATATTGATACCAACATGAATGAAGTTCTAATTATCAACATTAAGAGGCGACAAAACAGTATTTGTCAGTAATAGTTCAACTTCCTCTAGCATACCTGAGGAACGTCAAAGCCACACCCTGTCTGATAGAGGTTGCTGATATCATCCACTGACTTCCAATCGCCGCTGAAAACCTTTGCTAGGTTGCCCACAATGCCTAAACTGGCTCCTGATAGTATTAGAACATCATTCTATATCCGAATAAAATATAGGACGGCAAATAATTCTCTTAGATACACACGTATAAATATCTGAAAATTACCGCGAGAAATTCATAATTTATTTAATCTTCTTTAATCATTAATACCTTAAATTAAAGTACATCAAATCTATTTAACTACAACATTAGTAATATGATAAGAAAGACAGTAATTTAAAATCTCAAACGCTTTACACCTACTTGGTAGTGGTCGGTGAACATTTCTTGTTGAGGTAAATCTTTAACCTGCGGTTAGTTAATAAATAAGGGTATTAAAAAAAACTGAACAGTAAATTATCACATTGCCACGCCAACACATTTATTATATTATTAAGTAAATAACTGTTCAAATGAACAGCTCGAAGTCAAATACATTATATAATAGTTTTATGTGTCATAACTATAAAGTAATTTCAAATGCTGTGATCGTATTTGATAGAATACAATATATAACAATGCATAATTGCACTTGTGGCGTTGCAGACAACTTGATAAAGGCATAGCTTAGCTGATTGCTTTAGCTAATACTATCATTGATTGCTTATACGATCGTTACTCAAGTAATAAGGATTTACTATGCATATCTCGACGTCATTTAGACAATGTTTATGGTAATTTCTTGCTATCTAATGAAACAATAGGTTTCATAAGCATGTAATATAATATCAATCTTCGATATCTAACTCGAATTAGATATAATTAATTACAATAGACCATAGTACATATCTGATCTTCATTTACGTCCGCTTACAAGACTGGGAAATTAAATTGAATTTATAAAAAAATTTTTACAAATATTTAGCAGTAATGTAAAGGAATCGTGATTTTTTCTACTTTTTACGACCCCAAAATCATAAAAATTTGTCATTTGAGTTGATACTACTATTGCGTTGGCTTTTAAAAGTTGTACACCAGAAGATATTTGCTGTTATTTATTTAGTACCTGTGCAGGAACACCAGGAAATTTCCTATCAAGTACGTAGTGTGTCTGCTTTTCCTGGATTTCTTTTGCACGTTGCTGAGGTGATGCATCATTTTGGGGTAAGGAGCAATCCCACTTTTGAATTTTTAAGGTAACATACTGTCTTAACCAACGATTGATTGGGAAGTAGACTGGTGCGGGCGTACCTCCGACCTGTTCATTGACGACCCAAACACATTCACAAAACCAGTTACCACCAAATCCCCAAATGCCACGACTGATTTCAATAAATTTAAGATCAGCTAAGCCAGATATATCGCTAACAGGGAACTTATTCGTTTGGCCTTTTTCGAATTTACCTCCAAATATATCATCAGTAAGGGTAATATTGCGTGATTTTTTACCGTTGACATCGATGAATGTTATATAGATACTGACATCAGTGCTAGCGCCTTTATAATCTGCAGTTTTAATGTAAATGGTGTAATCCGGGTTAGACATGATGAAGCTGATCCTGTGATTCCTATTTCAATGATTAACGCTGAGCTCGGGATAAGAACATTCACGTTTAACGGTAGATCAGTTATTGACCAGAGTGGCACTTGAATCGAATGACAGATCGATTGGGTTGCTCCGCCGAATCGATAATTCGTTCTGAATAAAATTTCCAGGTAGTCCACTAGCATTTAAATACGCGTATAAAACAATAGTGTCTCTGCCACTTATCTTGTGTAGCCTGATCATTGGCTATTTCTTTTAGTAAACAAGTTTTCTAGCTAACCAATAGGTGATTTGTACCGACCTCTAATAATTAATTACTAATTATAATTGACCGTCCATGGTATTTGTTTTAATATTACAGTAATTCCACCTTTCAATCAATGCGAATGTTTAGGTCTTTTGAAATAGAAGCACCTTGTCTTTATAATGTTATCCGGCGCCATTATGTACTTAAACAATGTAATTATTTTTTTCTCAGTTTTGTCGTCAATTTTATCGCATATCAGTGATTACTCCAGTGCATTTTAAAATCACGTTATATATAAAAATACGATTAGGCTAAATCTTATTAAGCTATTATTGTCTATGTACAAAATTAGCTCACTTGGAAGCTGATTGCTTTTTAATGCCTTCTTGAAATTGGCTCTTTATACAATTTAAATATTAAGCCATATTGTGTGTTGTCTGTTTGTATCATCATCGAAGACGCGAGGACTGCCACCCTCTATCATAATTACGTATTTTTCTCGTCCTTACTTTAGTTGTCGATTTTATGTCTTATAAATGATTCTAGTATAAATTATAGAGTAAGATACTATATACTATTCAGTGTAAATGTAATTGTACGTTATGCAAATGGGAGTGAAGATACAGAACACTACTTTGCAAAAGTAATCAATTAATTGAAATTGATCTAGCTCGAAATCGAGTCACTAAGCTGAGCTAATCTGACTCGCAAATGTGTTATTAGTCTCTGATTCCAGTATTCAGAGAACAGACTAGATCAGAAATAATTTTAATGTTCGAAATACTTCATGCATGAGGAGCTAGAATAGTTATAAAATGTTAACGCCTTTGACATAAAAAGCTCTCGTTGTATTAAAACCTTCTTATTATGTGTACATGGAGTGTGTACGCGTCTGTGAACACCATACACGCAATTGTAAGATTGTGATTAGTTAACTTTGTAAGCCCCCACTTATTGTCATTAAAGTTTTTCAAGTTCCTTACGCCATTGTTCTATGAAATTTTGAAATCTACTTTGATTCGTTCTACTGTATATAATTCAATTCCATTAAACAGAGTACGAAATGATCGATTTTTCTTTTTGCAGTAGTTTCGCTTATAGCGATCCTTTCTCCCTTTCAGCCACTGAAACTATAGCAATTATCGCCAAAAATCACCTAATTTTATCGTCGACACTTCCCTACGCTATACTAAGCGACTCCTCTTTTCATTTAGACCTGCAATCAAACTTTATTCTTCAAAGTTCCCATTTGTGCTTGTTGAAGTTTTCTGTTACTTGGACGAGATAATTGTTTGCCACTACAGCGGAAAAACATTGCTTTAATTAAGTTATTGTTCTATGGTTAGAGGAGGTGTGGCATAGTTCTTGCTATAGTACTGTACATATTGTACAGTACAACATACAGTACAGTACAGTACTGTACTGTATGTACACTTAGGATTTAAGGAGGTGTGGCATAAGTGAGTAGGAGGTGTGGCATGAGAGTCTGAAAGCTGTGAAATCTCGAACACGTGACCATTAATGTTGGTCTTGTTCCTGTTTCCCCTTCCACATTTTTCGTCGCCTTTTATATTGGATTTCTTCATCAGTGATCGTTCTATTTTCCAATCAATGGATTACCCTTGTAAAGTTGCAGTAGCAATACTGTAAATGAAAAATACGGAGTTAACTGCATATTGGGTATTTCCCTTCTTCAAATAGAGCAAAATACGGGCACAATAATGCTAGCAGCCTATATAGTTTTCTCCAGTTGATTGCTTCTATTCTCTGTACTTGTTATTGGCTTTGAATTCAGTCTTTATACTGTACTGTCATTAGTCAATCATGATTAACAACATTCGTATATATCCTGTACCTTGGTGATATCTTGTTCTTGGTTATTGTCATCACAAAGGATATACTGTGCCATATTGTATGCTGTTTGTTTGTATTAACATCGAGGACTGCCACCCTCTATCGTAATTACGTATTTTTCTCGTCCTTACTTTAGTTGTCGATTTTATGTCTTATAAATGATTCTAGTATAAATTATAGAGTATGATACTATATACTATTCAGTGTAAAAGTATTTGTACGTTATGCAAATGAGAGTGAAGATACAGAACACTACTTCGCAAAAGTAATCTATTAATTGAAATTGAGCTAGCTCGAAATCGAGTCATTAAGCTGAGCTAAGCTGACTCGCANATGTATTATTAGTCTGTGATTCCAGTATTCAGAGAACAGACTAGATCAGAAATAATTTTAATGTT